TCTTTTTGAATTATTGCTTTCATTTTCTTTGGGTAAATACCCAGTAGTGGTATTACTACATCAGATGGCATTTCTATTTATTTTATTTTATTTTATTTGAGAGAGAGAGAGAGAAAGAGAGTGCACTAGCGGGGAAGGGGGGCAGAGAGAGAGAAAGAGAAGCCCAAGCAGGCTCCACACTGAATGCAGAGCCTGATGCAGGGCTTGATCCCATGACCCTGGGGTTATTACCCAAGCCAAAATCAAGAATCAGGCACTCAACCAACTGAACTACCCATGCGCCCTTCTATTTTTATTTATTTATTTATTTTTAATGTTTTATTTATTTTTGAGACAGAGACAGAGCATGAACGGGGGAGGGTCAGAGAGAGAGGGAGACACAGAATCTGAAGCAGGCTCCAGGCTCTGAGCTGTCAGCACGGAGCCCAACGCAGGGCTTGAACTCACGGACCGTGAGATCATGACCTGAGCCGAAGTCGGACGCTTAACCGACTGAGCCACCCAGGCGCCCCTATTTTTGATCTCTTGAGGAACCTTGATACTGTTCTCCACAGTAGTTGTACCAATATACATTCCAACCAAAAGTATACAAGGGTTCCCTTTTTTCCATATGCTCGCCAGTGCTTGTTATTTGTTGTCTTTGTGATACTAGCCACTTTGGGGGGGCAAAGACTGATGGAAGCTGATTCTATTCTTGGGATTACAGAACTAGCTCCATTTGTAGGGAGTGCTCAGAGGAGATTCTCAGAAGAGTGCCAGAGCCCCTAGTAAAGAGAATGAGATCCAAACATCAAGACCATGGCGATCCAAGACCAAGACCATCAAGACCAACAACTGCTCTATGGGGAAGTGGAGGAGAGGCACAGGGATGGAAGGTCCAGGGCAGTGGTTTTGCACTAGGATAGGGCAGGCCAATTATACACAAGGCTGGCCTTTCCCACCTGCATCATTTTACTGTTGCATTGTAGCAAACCACCCGAAAACGTAGTGGTTTAGAACAGTTTATTCTCACATTTCTGTGCATTTACTGGGCAGTCCCTCCACTGGTTTTCTCTGGAGTCACTCATGTAGCCAAGTTCACTTGGATCCAAGATGACCTCACTCACGTGTTAGACTCACGTGTCAGGCTCACACTGAGGCGGGCTGTCGGCTGCAGGGGCCTCAGTTGTGCTCCTCTTGTCCTCTAAAAGACTAGACTGGCTTCCTTACATGACACTCTCAGGGTAGCATTCTAGGTATATAAAGGGGGCTTCTGCAAGGCCTCTTGAGGCCTCAGGTTTGGAACTTCACTTAATTTCTACTCCATTCTTTTGGTCAAAGCATATCACAAGATCAACCTAGATTTAAGGGGCAGAAAAATAGAATCCACCTTTTGATAGCATGAGCTGCAAAAGATTTACAGCCATTTTTAATTTACTTCCCTCCCCTTTCACCCCAGATGTTTAGAATCTAAGAACAAAGGTAAGCTCTTTGAAAAAGTTTGCCAAGCAATTGTTCTGAGTGCTGAGCCCCTCATTAATATTAGTTATTATCAGGCTAAGATTGACTGCTATGTGTTAGCCACTGAGCTCAACACTTGACAAATATTGTCTCTATTCCTTACAATAATCCCCAGAGATGTGTGCTTTTTTAACTTCCATTTTACAGATCAAGATACTAAGGTTTAAAGAGTTGAAGTTATTTGCTGAAAGTCATGTAACTTGGTAGTGGCTATGCTGAAATGTGAACCCTAAGGCTTTCTAATGTTCTTACCCTCTGTTGAGAACAACTGGCCTAGCATAACCATTAAGTGAAAAACTTAATACCAATGATAATTACAGTCATAGTGAGTTACAGTGTACGATATCAGCTCACATCCATAGTCTCATTTGCCCATTATGACAACCCAATGACGTAGTTGGATCGGTTTTGAGGGATTGAAACTGGAAGCTCAGAGTGAGCGGCTTTGCCCAAGGTCACATTCCTAAAAAGGTAGAATTAGAAACAGGGAGAGTTAAGTGAGAATGGCATGAAGGCAAGGGCTTATCTATATTGTTTACCAATTTATTCCTAGAACCCTGGAGTGAGTGATGAACCTGGAGATGTCTGGGCTCCAGGCCCCTTTTTTCATCCCAAGCTGATACAGCACTTGGGGCCTGGCCTGTGTGGGAGGCTGTGCAAGGAATACCTGTAGCTCTGGCCACAGCTCAGCAGTGATACAGAGACCAGGACCTTTAAAGGCAAGGGTCAGTCTCTTCTCTATTTGATGATTCATGCGAGGAGGGAAACTAAACTTTAGTTACAGCAGGGTAGGCATTTAGGCATTGAGAGAATTTCTTGCTTTGTGGAGATTTTTCCATGCTGGAACTACTACGGGAAGTTAGGGAGCCATTTGTTGTGAAATCATGCTGGAATCAGACCAGAGATCCTTACCCTATTTCTTTCCCACCTGTGGGGACTGTGCCACACACATCAACTCCCCATAAGTACAGTGGCTTGATGGCCTGATGACTTCTCATCTTGGGAGTTTGAGGAGACGCATCTCTAAGGGAGCATATCAAAATGTCTGGAGCAATGAGGCATAATCAAAAGGCTTCCTAAGAGATTCTGAGTCTCATTAGATGCCTGTCATCTCCCACTAGATTTTAAACTTCATAAGGACATGAATTTTTGTCTCTTTTGTTTATTCTTTTTTTTTTTTTTTAACGTTTTATTTTTGAGACAGGGAGAGACAGAGCATGAACAGAGGAGGGTCAGAGAGAGGGAGACACAGAATCTGAAACAGGCTCCAGGCTCTGAGCTGTCAGCACAGAGCCCGACGCGGTGCTCGAACTCACACACCGCGAGATCATGACCTGAGCCGAAGTCGGCCGCTTAACTGACTGAGCCACCCAGGCACCCCTTTTGTTTATTCTTATATCTAGCACCTAGAGCAGAGCCTGGTCCATAGTAGATGCTCACTAAGTATTTGTTGAATGAAAAAACACAAATTAAAGTTGTTTTCTATTCAAGGCATCTTCTCCCACCTCCAATTGAGAATAGCTGAAACAGAATCCTTTGTGTAGTCCAGACTTTACTGGTTTACAGGGCTGGACTGATGGCCTTCTGTATCCATGGTTCTGTGAAATAAATGAGGGACTTCAGGCCTCCCTCGATTGTGAGTAGGTTGGGATCTCCCCAGGCTCAAGCTTGGCATATTGCCCTGCTGCTGCCTACTCTAGGGAGCGCTGAGGCTTATTCTTTTCACACGTCCTTACTGAGCAGAGTCTCTTTGGTCATTGGCTTGGCTGGGCACTGAATTTCTCTCATCTGTGCCCATGTACACGTGGGATGGCTCTTGTTTGACTTGCCCTTTTAAAAACAACTTAAGCATGTTGAGGTTTCCTGTTGATCGGGGGCAGCCAGAGGCTATGACCCAACAGGGAATTGTCGGCCAATCCCTGACTCACCCAAGCTACGGTTTTCTGTGTGTGAGCAAGCAGTGACAGCAGGCTGGCTTGAGGGCAGCTGGCTGCCTTCCTGTGGATGGCATGGGACTCTGGAGCCTGTGAGGCTACTGCCCAGCTTTAAGGCCCATGGTGTTAGGGTCAGGTAGGCCTTTGTAGCATGTGGCGTTGGCAAAAACCCTGCTGTCTTTGAACTAAAATTGTTTGAGAAGAAGGCTGGAAGTTGACAGTAAACTGAAAAGATAGTCCTCTCATGGTTCTTGTCAATAAACTCACCTTTACCTTTTTGTTTCTTTATTTGTCCTTCATTCCCTGAGCACCTTACAGATACTGAGGATGTGTCCTTCCACCTGGAAGAAATCGTGGTCTAGTAGGGGAGAGGTCTAGAGGTCTTGAGGGGGAAGAGGTCCCTGATGCTTATAAATGCACTGTTTGAGACAGGGCTGTGCCCAGTGCTGTGAGGGTTCCTGCCGAGTTATGTCCTGGAGCCTAGGCAGTTGACAAAGATGGCAGAGGCCACTGCTTCGTCTTCAGAGGGGGCCACATCATATACCGTAAATTCCTGTCCTGGCTTCCCTCCTCACTAGCTGAGGGGCCTTGGATGAGATATTTAGCCTTTCTGGGCTTCAGTGTTTTTCATTTGTAAAATGAAGATAATAATAAACAATAATTATTATACAGAGTTTTTGTGAAGACTAAATGAGTTAACAGTATGTATTATTTAGAACTATTCCTCATATCTGATAAGATCTATGTGTGGATTTAGAGCTAGAAGTGGCCAGTGCTTGTTTGAAGGGATGCCACCCCTGGAAGGTAGAGCTGCCTGAGGAGCTGGCCTCCTTTCTCCATGGGCGTCCTCACTGACAGGGCCAAGAGGACTCTTTCTTGAGGGACCCTTCTGATCCTTTTGAGACCTTCGGAGATCTGAATTCTGGTCAGGACAAGCTGAGCTGCATATGTTGTGGTGGTAACAGAAGTCTCAGGGGAGACAGGGCTTTGTTAAAGAGACAGATCAAAGCGCTTGGGTGTATATTTGGGGCAGTGCAGGAAGTAGTGTGCTGGAGATGCTTTCTAGCAGCTCCTGAGAACTGATCACTAGCATTTCTTCCCAATGTCACATTCAGTGAGGTCATGTTGGTAGCTTAAAATCAGCCACAATAGGAATATTTATACCATGGAAGTTGGCAAACATTACAGATCTGTGCTTTGTCTTTCAGAGGGCCGGTTGCTAAATATTTTGCAGACACCACTGGCCTTACTGTGCTCTAGTTGGCAGATGTAGATTCTGGGGATCCTCTCACCTGACACAGAGCTGGCTTCTGCTCCAGATGGTACTCAGGGCTTGAACTGGGCAGAGACACCCATTGAGTTTGGCCTGCTGTGGATAAGGAGCTGTTCCTTTCCTTGAGGGTGGCTTTGGGGGTGTATTACTTGAATAGAGTACTTTGAGCTTGAACGTCCTGTAGGAAAGAGTTACTTAGCTCTCTACAAATGTAACACCATACCTCTGGTTGTCGGGCCACTCACTGCCATTTTCTCTTCTTTTCCTTTTGTTTTTGTTTTTGTTGGTTTTAGGTCTCAGTCAGTCTCTCCACCTCCAGTTCTCTCCCCACCAAGGAGTCCCATCTACCCATTCAGTGATAGTGAAACGTCAGCCTGCAGGTACCCAAGCCGCTCCAGCTCCCGGCTGCTCCTCAAGGACTGGCACCCCCGTGATCTTTCACCCCCAAATCCTCAAGCTCACTCCCCAGACACTTCACCACCCATCTGTCCTCTCAAGGCCACCAACTTCAGTTATTTGGACAGAAGCCCTTCAGTGTGCAAGAGAGAGGACCAGAAGGAGAATGTCCAAGGGGCAGCCCAGGATGTAGAGGGAGTAGCTGCTTGCCTCCCCCTCGCCCAGAGCACCCCATCCCTGGGGCCGGGAACCGGCTCACGGAGCTCCTTTCTGAACCGCACTGGCAACCGTGCCCATAGCCTGGGCATCCGGGAGAAGATCTCAGCATGGGAGGGTCGCCGAGAGGCTTCGCCCAGGATGAGCATGTGTGGGGAGAAGCGGGAGGGCTCTGGGGGCGAGTGGGCGGTCAGTGAAGGCTGTCCCAGCGTGGCGCCATCCCCCTGCAGCTCAGAAAAAACCTTCGATTTCAAGGGCCTCCGGAGGATGAGCAGGACCTTCTCAGAGTGTTCCTACCCTGAGACCGAGGAGGAGGGAGAGGCGCTCCCTGTCCGGGACTCTTTCTACCGGCTAGAGAGACGGGCAGGCCGGAGTGAGCCCAGTGCCTTCCTCAGGGGGCATGGCAGTAGGAAAGAGAGCTCAGCAGTGCTGAGTCGGATCCAGAAAATTGAACAGGCCCTGAAGGAGCAGCCAGGCCGGGGACTCCCCCAGCTCCCCAGCAGCTGCTACAGTGTAGACCGAGGGAAAAGGAAGACTGGGACCTTGGGAATCTTGGAGGAACTGACAGGGAGCACGAGTGTGAGCACTGGCAACCGGGCAGGAGGAGTGGCTGGAGTTGGGGGGGAGGCAGGCCCACCCCTGGAGAGAGAAGGCAGTGGCTCCACTAAGCCAGGGACCCCGGGAAATAGCCTGAGCTCCCAGCTGCTGCCATCAAAGAGCTCCCTTGATCCCGCTGTGAACCCTGTTCCCAAACCCAAGCGCACCTTTGAATATGAGGCTGACAAGAATCCCAAGAGTAAGCCAAGCAATGGTCTACCTCCTTCGCCCACACCTGCTGCTCCACCCCCCCTGCCCTCCACCCCAGCCCCACCAGTCACCCGGAGACCCAAGAAGGACACGCGTGGTCACCGCAAGTCCCAGAGCAGGTAACGAATGTTCCTCCAATGTCTTCACAGCCGGGTACTGTGGCTTTCTTTTCAATGGAAGATGTGAAAGCAGACTGTAGTTGTGGGTCACAGTCAGAAGTGCTTCATGGATCCTGAAGCAGTGAGTAATTGTCAGGTGGTGACATCAATTAGGTGAAAAAGAAATTGTTCTGCTCTTGCAGGATAAGGATACATAAACGTGAGTGGGAGGATGAAAATGCTTCTTCCAAATGCTGTCTACTGAAGGTGTGGGCTGGATTTGGCCTTGGGGGGAGAGTTGGGCTACGTCTTGGGCCCTGTTGGAACTGCCTTGGTCCTTGTGGGAAAGGTAGGACCACCTTACTTTTAGATAGAATGGGCAGTCCTTTGGGGAACATAGGATCTTAGTCTCATGACTACCTGAAATGCCAGCATTAGAAACTTATTTCCTTGAGGGAATCACTATCTGAATACTGCATGTTGCCATTAACATAGTAGCATCAATACATTTAAGATGATTTTCTCTCTCCTGAGGGCTGCCTGGCCATTTAGGGATCCTGGGCCTTTAGGAAGAGGAGATCCTTGGATCGTGAAAGGGGAGACTGATGGAAAATGTGTCAAAGAATATTTTACTGTTTTTTTGGCCATGTTCAAGAATGGCCTGTCCTGACACTGTCATTAGGTTCCTGCTCAGTCTCAGCATTCTTGACCCTGGACTACCTGGGCTGTCTCCACAATTATAAGTGACTGACTGGGCACTGGAGCTGCTAGGGTTGTGAAAGTTGACAGACACCTTATTCTCTGAATTGGGGTAGGCGGGAGCCCGCCTCCTTAGAAAGGCCTGTCTGCTTCTCCCTCACTGCCTTTCTCTTCTAACCCAAAGTCAGATGGCATTTGGGCTTATTTTGCTTCTCGGGGTTCTTCAGTTGGGTCTAATACTTCAGGCTACACCCAGCATATCATTCAGGGACACCATCATATAGATAACTGCTCAGCCATGAGAGGAAGACATCAGAAAGTTTCAGGTGCATGGGCCAGAAGAGCCCTGGGCTAAGGGAATCCTATGTTTTGGCTTACCCCAACATGCTTACTGGCTCTCAAGACTTTAACAGCCTGCCAGGAGTGTTTGCTTTGTTCTGATTTATCCATTTCTATAAATACCCATCTAGAGCCTGCCATGCACTAAACCTTGTACTGGATAAGGGGACACAGGGTCAAATAAGATACGGTTCTTCTATTCTTCCATTCTTGATGTGGTACAGGAGGTAGATCACAGATAAATCCTAGATGCTCTATGTGACACGATCCATGTCAGTGTAGGATGCTACAGAGACCCAGAGGAAGAGGCAGCTAAGTTAGACAGGGGAGTGCGGGAAGCCTCCTTATAGAGGGAGTTGTTGAGCTAAATTTAGAAGAACAAAAAAGCAGTTAGCTAGGTGGAAAAGGGGATGTGGGAGAGTATATCAGCCCGAAGGTTTAACACATACTCCTGTACATGTTACATTTATATATAATATATACACACACATATACCATATATGGTGGAGTCACTTCACATAATAATTAACATAGCAAATTAAAAAATCTGTGCTCTTGGAAAAAAAGAGAGACCATTCAAAAAGTATAAGTTCTTTTATTTGCCTATTCACACAGTGGCATATTCCCTGGAGGAGCATGAGATGGTAAGTTTGTTTCGGTTGTGTCAGGCATGATTCTTATATTTAACAATTTTTTTATTTAAAAAATACCAACCAAGTATTTCTTTTGGTATTCAACCCAAAAAAAAAAAAAAAAAGAAAGAAATCTGTTAAAAATAAATCTGTGGAGAAACTGACTATATTAGTCTTAATTAAAGACAGTGTGTATTGGTCTTCAATGTGGTATCTTCCTGAGGGATTTTCAAGGGTAATTTGGCTGAACATGATTTGTATATCTGTATATTTGAGAACTATCTGCAAAAGATGTTGACCTCACAGTATATATGTTAATGAAAGCTTGATCTCAGACCGCCAGTATCTGTGAGCCAACATTCAGGAACCACTGCACTTAATCATTGGATATTTAACTGGGTCAGAAGTCTAGGTCAGAGACAGACTTGGGAGCCATCATAGTAGGAATGGTAGATATAGCAATGGCCATCAGTATTTGGCTCCCAGAGAGCACAGAGTGAGAGAAAGAATCCTGAAGACAGAACTCTGAGAGACTCTGGCATTTAAAAGGCAAGTGGAAAAGGTATATCCCTCACATGAACCTGAAAACTAACTGCCAAAGAAGCTGTTGACTGTGTCATGGAGGTGAAGGGAGGAGGGTGCCGGTGTAGAGTGTTCAGCTGTGTCAAGTGCTACAGAATAGCTAGGCAAGCTGAGAACAGAATGTGGCTTTTAGGACACCTTTAGTCCTTGACTTGCACCCAAAGACTCTGAGAAGTTGTTCATTAAACAAGAGAGAAAGGCTGAAATATCTAATGGTAACCAAAAGAAGAGGGAGGTGTTAATGGATGGGAGGAGGTCTTCAGTCAGTATCTTTCCTTTCTCTCTCCCCCCCCCCCCCCCCCCCCCCCCCCCCCCCCGGAGTCTGCTGGGACCTGCCTTGGAGAGGGAGAGGACGCAACTAGGGTCAAGTCTTAGATAACGGAGGAGAGGAGTAGAGAGTACTGTGGGCTCAAGCTATCTGAGGAGCTAACAAGCCGTGGTTTTGAAATTCTGTAGTAGAGGAGATGGCTATTTGCAGTATGGAAAGGAGCAGCTGACTAGCTCAAGGGAAGCTGGGTCTTGGAAGTAGCTTCTGGCTGCAAATTGCCCCCCTTGTTCCACCTCAGAAGTGGTATGATTTGTTTGGAGGTCTCAGCCCTTCCTCTTCTAACGATGCACCTATCACCACCTGATTCCCTGACCCCCAAACAGCCCTGGGCATCACCCATCCACTGTTGAGCCCTTACTACTTGTTCAGAGCAGGAGCGCTTGCTAGGATGCAGGCATAATGGAGGCTCCAGAGGCTGAACAGGCACTCCATTCTGTGGTACTGGCAGATACTTCGCAAGGATGATAGGCTCCGGGGCTTGGAGGCCCAGGTTAAAAGCTCAGACCCTGGAATCAGACAGCCTCGGTGAGTCCGGCCACTTGTCACTTCATCTCCCTGAGCCTCCATCTCCTCATTCATAAAATGGCACAATAGCTAGTAGCAGCATTGTGAAGATTAATGAGGTCCATGTGCAAGGTGTTTGACATAGCATCTGACACATCGCACCCTTTTTAGCTGTGGGATTTGTTACTGGTATGATTAGCAGGCACCGAGGCTGGGGTCTCTCAGACCATTTATCTCCTCATTTGAATGGTAAGTTTGGATCCACCTTGATACATTGCTTGGTAGCTGGTTTGTGAGGAGGACCTCTGGTCTTTGCTGTTGCCCATGGCCATTCCCCCAATGAGGTGGTTGGAATCTAGTTCTGCTGAAATGACCCATGCTCTTGTTATCCACAGAAAATCCTTTGAGTTTGAGGATGCATCCAGTCTCCAGTCCCTGTACCCCTCTTCTCCCACTGAGAATGGTACTGAGAGCCAACCCAAGTTTGGATCCAAAAGCACTTTAGAAGAAAATGCCTATGAAGATATTGTGGGTAAGCTGTGGTAGAGGTGGCGGGCTGGCTTATCTCTGGGGGCTGCAGAACAGGAACAGGAGGGACACTCCCAGGTTCCACTTCATTCACTGGGGGCAGACATGGCCCAGCTTCTGGAACTTCTCAAGAAAATGGGCATCAGGGGAAGCATCTTGGAAAAGACTGAGCAGCTAAGAGATTAAAGCCTGACCTTGAATGAACTGAAACTGAAAGGGCTTCTGGGACCACAGTAAGGGGAAAACCATATCATTCCTTTTATTTTCAGAAGGCTTCCTTAGCTGTGTGTCCTTCCTTAGCTGTGTAATCTTAGGCAAATCACGTTTCTGAGGCCTGTTTCCTCTTATAAAGTGATGATGATGATACGTTAATAACAACAACAACAATAATAATAATACCTCAAAGGATTATTGTTAGGATTCAATGAGATAAAATTTATATCAGAGTACCTAGCACAGTGCCTGGTCCTTAATATGTATCTCTTCTACTTTCTCTTAAAGTAAATGGTGTCAAGAAAGCATCTGGGATTTTATTCTGCTTGCATACTAACAAGTTTAGCCTTCCCTGGCTTCACAGATGCTGGCCGAAGACACAAGACTCTTGGATCACAGTCAAAGGACTTTATTACTCATGGCATAGCAGGCAGCACATGGGTCCCCTTGCTCCCAGGTCCCATGAGGCAGTGTGGAGGAGGTCCAGGTTGAAACTGCACTTACATGTGGGTCTGTGTGCCAGGAGGAACTTCAGGCTGAAGGAACCCCAGTCTTTCTAGGGGGTGACTAGCAAACATGCCCAACCTTTGCCCCACAAGGAGGTCTTGTTTTTATTATTCTGGCCAGGAAACAAACCTGCTTCTGCCCTGGAGGAAGATATCTCTACCTTCTGAGGTTGTTTGCTATATATCTTTGAAAAGACAGTCTGGATGGGTCCTTCCCCTTGCTCAAAAGTCAGAAATGTAAAATACCATGGAGAATTGTCCTTCAACAACTGGGAGGACTTGGTGTTGGCAAACTTGTGTTCCAGGGTCAACAAAAAACCGGTAGTCTAGGCTGCGTTGGGTTTATTTTGGGCTTTCATTTGAATCCTGGTCTCATTCTCTTTAGTGGGGCTTCAGTTTTGTTGGAGTAAAGTATGTGTGAGTGTCACTCAAGAGAAGCAGTGTGCTTGTGCACTTGACCCCTCCTCTCTCATCTCTGGCTCTGTCTCATCTCTGTGTTAGGCCTTGAGGCTGGAGACCCTTGAAAGTTCTTAGTTAACATATTAGAGAGAAAAACGGCCCTAATGGAGAACCCTCCAGATTCTCCTAAGACTAGAGAATCTTAGGAAGAGGGGGTCGTCTATTCCCTCATTTGATCTTTGCCACCAGTTTCATAGTTTTCTCCTGATAACTTGCTGGGCCAGCATTTCTGGGGAAATAGCAGCAGTGCTTGGATCCACATAGGCACTGCTTCCCCAGGAGCAGAATATATAGTATATAGCCATCCAAAATTAGGTCATAACAGGAATACTGTGGGATTGAGGTCCCTAGAATAGCAAAAGGGTTTAGAGAGGGAGGCCTTTTCTCTTAACCCTGGGAAAAAGCACTGTACATATAGTCACCCAGAGTTGAGGTCAAGACCTGTGGGGATCAGCTCCATATCCCCATCTTCCTCCCCACTCCAGTTTCAGGATACATTTCTGTTTCCTCTAGCTAGAAGAAACCAGAATGTGTTATTGCTGCCCAGGGCCCTCCAGAGCACCCAGTGTGGCTGCTGCAGTGGGCCAAGGAGGCTATGGTTCTTAACCCCCCTCCCTCAGTAGACCAGGCACTGCCCACACTGTGATCCTCTTCTCTGAGAAGGCTTTGCAGCCCTTCTGTGCTGTCCTGTCATTTCAGGCGGGGAAATGTTTTGTATCAGCTGAACTGAAATAAGAGAAAGGGATGCTTCAACCATCTCTCCCTGTGCAGAGTTCCATGATCCAAGGCTCTGTCTGGGCTTGTTTGGGGACCATATCTGGTGGTACAGGGGGAGATGAGAATCTGAGGGGCACTGTCCTAGGAAACAGAACTGTTCTCTGGGCCTTCTTAGGTCAGGTTAGGGAGAAGAGGGAGAGAGAGGCAAGTGTGTCTGGGTCTCTGTCTCTTCACTTAGTAGAGGGGACTTACTGCCACTTTGGGATGTTGTATGAGGAGGCAAAGAAATATAGGAGCAGCTTGGATGCTTCTTGAATGTGTGAGTTAGAGCTGGGGGTAAGGGCTGGTATGGGATGAGGTTGGAATTAGGGTGTATTCCTTAGCTGCTCACCTGGCTTCTGGATCTTTGGAGCATTATGCAGAGAGTATGGGAGGAGTACTCAGGAAAGTGTTAGAGGGAAGGCAGGGGAGTGACCCAGACACCTGGGTTTTGCTTCTGCTTTGTGGGGTGTGGGTATAGTTAGTTCAGTGCCCTGGATATGGCTTCCTCCTTTGTATCCCCCACAACAGTGCTGTCTGAATTTCTAGACTTGACCAGGGAGGCTAGAGGGAAGTACAAGAGAGAATATCTCTCTCAGATTCTGGTTGATTTATCCCCTTCTCCTTCCCGGGAGACAGGCCCAAGAATTTGGACCCTCCCAGAGGCTTCACCAGGGCCTTTGTTGCTGAACTCTGAATGTCAGTTTCACTTTTTGCCTGGGATTGACCAGTGCCTAGGACTTCCCAGGAGCCTTCTCTCTGTTCTTGGCCCAGCCTGTGCTCTATGAGGTTAAGGTCGTTTCTGGTTCTGTTTGGATTAACGAACTCTTATGTTGCCTTGCTTGCACAGTGACAGACAAAGCTTTGTTTTGGGTGTGTGATAATGGGGCCGGCGGGGGGCAGGGAGCACCCACGTTAAATCCCATCTTGGGGACCAGTTGATTGGATTGGAGTTTCTGGTCTGTTAGAGGTTGAGTATCAGTTGGCCCAGAAACTAACATGTCTTCTCTGTGAGCAGTGGACTTGAATGAGGGGCCTCAGGGAATTTGCTGGCCTCCTGCCCACACCAGGCATGATGCCTGGGGACCTGTGGTGGGATATTCCAAAACAGGCTGAGGTTTATCCTGCTAATTTGCAATAGAGGGGTTCAAAAATAAAGTTACTGTCTTTTTGCTTTCTGGGGCTGTTAATTCTCGCCTGTCCAATTTGACATCTGCCCCTGAAGATGCTGCTATTCTACAAAGCCTTATAATCATTTGCATTTTGAGCCTGACACTTAAAAATGCACCCAAGGAAGCAGCTTGTTAGGGAGTTATGTGGAGTGGCCTCGGCGCCTGACCAGGGAGCCTGGACTGCATTCCTGCAGAGGTTCCCACTCCCATCAGCTAGTTGGGGCTGAGGGAGAGTTTCCAGGAACTTGAACGGGATGGGAGCTGGGGACAGAGCCAGTTAGCCTGACTGCAAAGCGTTTTGAACCTCTGTTCTTTCTGCCTTCTTCTCTTATTTGTCCCCAGGCAGGAAGGTAGTAAGGAACATAGGGCACCTAACAGCATTGAGGCTGCAACCCAGAGTGTGTTGTGGGGGATTTGGGCCTTTATCCTGGCCCTCTCTCCACCTTGGGAAGGAGGGGAAGAAGCTGAGAACCAGGAGAAACAGCTGGTTCAAACCGGGAGAGGTTTTGACAGGGAAGCTGTAGACTGGGCCCTAATCAGGGTGTGGTCAGGAAGCTTAGGATTGTGTTGGGAGAAATTCTCAGTGCCTATGCATATTCACACACATTTCGTCCCTAACTGGTTCTTCCAGTGTGTGTGTGTGTGTGTGTGTGTGTGTGTGTGTGTGTGTGTGTGTGTGTGTGTGTGTGTGTGTGTGTGTGTGTGTGTGTAGTGAGTGCTGTTTGGTACATGTGCTTAATGACCAAAGTTGCTGTGGGGAGAAATGGGGGCAGGGCTGGGTGGGTGGGGTGGGTTTCTTCCTTTGAGAGGATCAGTGTGATAAGTATGGTCTCTGACAAGCCCCTTTAAAAGAGTGCAAAGCAGAAATTCTTGGCGATGCCCTTGTTCCATATCTCATCAGCAAAGCTGGGAAGGGCTGAGACCTCTGGCTTCCCCAGCTGGGCTTGATGTGATGGGGCTGCTCAGGTCCAGGCTTCTGGGGAAGAGGGCCTACCTCTTTTCCCACTCCTAGGGCATTGTGGTGCGGACCACCCTTGAGGAAGCTGTGTGAGTGGGAATGCAGGTAAAAGTCTGGTGTCTACCAGGCTTCCTGTCTCCCACCCATGCCCCTGCTAAATCTTTCCCATACTCACTCAGCTGTAGCTTCTCCAGCCTTGCTGTTGTCTTGTTTCCCCAGAGGGAGTTCAGAGCCCTTTTCCCCAACCCTCCTCCTCTCCCAATTCTGAGCCATTGCTTCTGGGTTAATTTTCTCTTGGCAGGTTCAGGTGTGGTTCTACTCAGGGCCTGCTTGGTCTCTGCATATTCCCATCCCCTGGGCACCCTTAGTCCCTGGAAAAAATGACTGGGGGTATGTCTCCTGAGACAGTTCCAAAACAGTGGCCAGAAACAGTCTTGGAAGTCAAGAGTAGCAGGTGAACTAGGGCTGTGAAGGCCCAGCTAAGGGTGGGGAGGCAGGGCTTGGGCCAGCAGTCATTTCCTGGAGAAGGGATTAGTGGCCTGCTTATATCAGAGAGGATTTTAAGCATTGCTGAAGAAGAAAGAAGCTGGTGTTAAGGCTGGAAAGACAGGAGGGGCATTGAGGCTTTCCTGAAATTTTGTTTCCAGAGGCAATACTAGTATTGAGACCCTGGTGTTCCCAACTGTTTTCTTGTCACTGATGTGTATCAACATTGTACTTCTATTACTTCCCTGTACCTCAGTCCCTTATATCTATTTCTGAGAGCTTTGGATTTTATATCAGTTTTCAAGGCTCTGATTCTTGGGGAAGAAAGAAGGAAGAGAAGGAAGGTGAGAGGGAGAAGAAAGGAATGAGGGAAGGATGGAGGAAAGAGGGTTTGTGTTGGGAGTCATATCATGGCACTCAGAATCTATTAGGAAGTTTAGAAACATCTGTCTAAAGCAGTCGTTCTTAATGGGGCAGGGGAGTAATTTCAACCATCCACCCATCCTTCCTTCCTTCCTTCCTTCCTTCCTTCCTTCCTTCCTTCCCTCCCTCCCTCCCTCCCTCCCTCCTTCGTTCCATACATTCATCCATCCATTCACCCATCCGTGCATTTATCCATCTGCTCAGGGGACATTTGAGAGTGTCTGGAGACATTTCTGGTTATTACAACAGAGGTGGTGCTACTGTCATCTAGTGGATTGAGGCCAGGGTTGCTGCTGAACATCCTACAAATGCACAGGAAAGGCTACCACCACAAGAATTTCCCAGCCCCAAATGTCAGTAGTTTGGAGAAACTCTGATCTAAAGGACTTGAGAGACAAGGTCATCCTGTTGGTTTGAGGGATGATGATAAGGACTTTGGCTGGTCATCCAGGTCAAGGCAGTTTGGATTTGATGAGCTTGGAATAAATGTTCTTCCTGCCCCCATCTGAGCAGTGATGCTCTGGTCCTGTTTCCCACTATCAGGAAGATTGTGTCCTGGCATTCTTGATTCCTTGATCCACCCACCTCATCAATACAGAATATATTTTGGAGGGAGACCAAGAAGTACTGAGTCTCTCCTGACTCCTCTCTAAGTGCCTAGAGTAGGGTAGGCTGGATGCCAGGTTTGATACTTGGCTTCTTGAGGCAGGGTTGCTGGGCCAGCTCTGCTTAGTCAGGACTCTGGAATGGAGACAAGTCATATTCATAGCATGACTGTGTTACAGGAAAACTCCGCTCAATTGCTGGGGACTCTGCGTGGTGCTCGGAATCACTTCATCCAGTCCCAAATCCTTTCTTGACCCATTCTTGACTCAAGTTCAAGAGATTCGCGTTGCTCCCATGGCACCCTTCCTTCACATCTCTTCCCTCCCCCTACCTCTGTTGAATGCATTTCCTAAATTCATTGTGGTTTTTCATGATAATAATAAATAGATCCCCCAGTCTGGGGGATTTGAGGGGGGTAACTGTAGATTCCCCCAGTTTGGGGGAAACTGAGAATTCTGTAAGCATATAGGGATTAGTTTTTCTTTTGTGTTCCATCCTAGGAAAGCTTACACTGTCAGTGGCCTTGTTTCTAATCATATGGCTCTTTATTCTGCCTGCTCCCTGAGAAGTGGTATTTGAACTCCTCCCGGGTGTGAGGCACATCCAGGCATCTGCAGGGCTCAGCAGTCACTAGGCTCCATTCTGGTGCTGACCAGGGAAAAGAGGAGTGAGGCCTGTTCTCTTCATGTATGCTACCCCCAGCACAGCCTAATGCTGGTCACTGGTGCCTAGGTCCCACGTCCCAGACAGGGGCATTGATGTGGCAGGGAGGATATGGAAAGACAAGGAAAAGAGGAGCAGAGGGCTGTATTCACTCACAGTGCCCACAGATCCGTTGCAGGCTTGAGCCAGGACTGACCTGGCTCATGATGTTATTGGAGTGTAGCAACGTCCAGGTATGGTTGTAGGGAAAGAGGTAGGCAGGTATGGCTATGGGTAGGAGTTGCTTTTATGGGCAGGGACTGTGCTGACAACTTCCCGAGGTTTGCTCGTAGTGACAGTACAGTGCCTACTGCCAGGGTTTTAAGAATTGGTCCTGAAAAGCAAAAACTCCCCACCCTCACCCCTAGGCCCAGGCTGTTGTCAGGCCTTTCACACCTCCCTATGTCATAGCAGGAGGGCTTATTCCAAAAGGGGAGTGAAGATCAATCTGTTTTTCCAGGTCAGCAGTAGAGGAATTAGAGTGACACTGTAATGAGAGCAGTACGTTGAGCAGATCGTTACCGAAATCTCACTACTTGACTGACAGTGTTCTGGTGTGGGGGTTATCTGTGGACCGGATGGTAGACCTGCCCTGAAAGAGCGGTGCATGGTAGAGTGATTGAGAGGGAAGCCTGGGAGCGCCTTGCTCCTTGTAGTTCATCAGTGTTCCTCCATGCCCATCCCGCAGAGTGGTCTTCAGGGAGCATTGCTAATGGGACAGCCTGGTGACCTCTGAAAGCCTTTCCTACCTTGAACTGTATATCTCTGGGGCTTTCACGGCAGAGGAACTGGAGCCAAGGAACGACGCCTGGTGTTGGCTTTGTCCTCTGGCTGGGTGCAGGCAGGGGTAGCTGAGCCAGTCTTGTGCAATCTCTGAATTTATAAAGCAGAGGCCAGACAAGGCTGAGCTGAAGTGGGGGTGGGGGTGGGGGGGGTTCGCTTCTGGTTTTGGAGCCGGGATCTGTTTGTAGCCTCCCCACTGCAGACGGGCAGCTGTGTGACTCATGGGCTAAAGGGCCAGGCAGAAGCCATTCTCTTTGGTTCACAGGAATTCTGCTTGTTTATTTGTGAGTGCATGTGTTTCCTCCTTCCCTTCTCCCCGTCTCTAACTTCTCCCCCTCTGCAGGAGATCTACCCAAGGAGAATCCATACGAGGATGTGGACTTAAAGAGCCGAAGAGCAGGACGAAAATCCCAGCAACTGTCTGAAAACTCCTTGGACTCTTTGCACAGGATGTGGGGTCCTCAGGACAGGAAGTACAACAACCCACCCACTCAGGTAACTGCAGCCCTGACTTGAGCCAGCGCGAGGGCCACAGGAGAGGCCTGTCCCACCAGGGTTTGGGCCCACTTCCACTCACGCTCTTTCCCTCATAGTGCTTGACAAAGGAGGTGACCTCAGGAAAGGCCTCTGCATGCAGGGACTAATGTCATGTCAGAATCCTCACGGGGAAGTGAGGCATGCCCTTGGGGCACCCTGCCCCATGCTCTTCCCTTCACTGCTTGAGCTCTGAGCTGCAACACCAAGGCATGAGCCTCTGCCGCCTCCTGTCTTAGCATTGTTCCTGCTCCCCTTCTGTGGGTAACAGAAAGATGGGGGCCCTGGTTGGAGTCCTGATATTCTGCAGCTCTGGCAGAAATGATCTCAGTACTGGCATTTGGGGGCCAGGCATAGGCCCAAGAACCAGATTTGGAGAGCTAGACGCGTGTCTACCAGACCTTGAGCCACTTGTGTTGGAGGAAATAAGAATGAATCTTTAAGGACTGATAGAAGGCAGAAAGAGAAAAAAGATGGAGTCAAAGGAGGCCCTTAGACTCTAGCTCATTCTGGCCTTACCTGGGGTGGACAGGAAGCAGGAGAATGGACCTACCCAGGCAATTCGAATTTTCTTTGCAAATGGAGGGACCTGGATATTTTGTAACATTGGCTAGAGAATACAGAAATTTCTTCTGGTTTTGGAAGATGTAATCATTTTTATACAAGAGTCACCTTTCTAATGTGCTGTATTCAAACAGGCTTCCACTGAACTTATGTTGCCAGACTGGTTGGGTGGGAAGAGGGCCTTGGGGGATGGGAGGAAGGAGGACTTAACTGAAGAGTGATGAGAGGGAATTCCAGATGCAGACAGTGGGTAGGAGGCAGGCCGAGTTGGCAGGGGTGCTGCCTTTCTAGCAGTGAGCTGGGTCTGCGAAGAGTAAGGTGCCCTGTTGGGAGGAGTGTTGGTCTAGATGGAGAGAGTAGATCAGGGCCAGGGAGGGGCAGCTGGGTGAAGGCAACTGGCTATGAGGCCCACCTTGCCAGGCTTTGATAGATAGTGAGAGCCCAGAGCCCTTCTGTTTTTCTTGGAAGAAGTAAGCAGGACCAGGCTGTCATGTGGATTATGGCTCCTGCTAAAGAAGCCTTTTAGGGCTGGATTGGGGGCTCGGGGTTGGTGGGAGGTTGGGGTGGGGGGAGACTAGCTCCATCAGCCAGGCTGAATAATGAGCAAAGTCTAAGCCTTGCCCCGAAGCTCACAAGGAGCCCCCAGAATTCCTGCTTGGCCTTATCTTTTCACTCAGATGAGAGCCCAGTTTTCTTAGCCTCTGCTTTCTTTTTTTCTGGCAGAGGTGGTTCAGCTTCCTTTGTAGAAGCATGTATCTAATCTAGCCCTGACCTGCTGATTAGCAGCTGAGGTCTTAAAAGAGGAAACCCAGGCAGAGGGAAATTCCAGGATGGGATTCGGGGGAGCCAGGGATGCCAGCCAAGGCATGTGGTGAACCCCTCTCCCATGTCTTCTCTCCCATGCCAGCTGTCCCTGAAACCCAACAGCCAGTCCCTGCGCAGTGGGAACTGGTCAGAAAGGAAGAGCCACCGGCTGCCACGATTACCGAAAAGGCACAGCCATGACGACATGCTGCTGCTAGCTCAGCTGAGCCTGCCGTCTTCACCCTCTAGCCTTAATGAGGACAGCCTCAGCACCACAAGTGAGCTGCTGTCCAGCCGAAGGGCCCGCCGCATTCCCAAGGTAGCCTCCCCAGAGGAGCCAACCGGGGCTGGGCAGGTGGGTGGGCAGGTGGGCAGCTCTTCCCTCCCTCCCTCCCTCCCTCCCTCCCTCCCTTCCTTCCTTCCTTCCTTCCCTCCCTAATCTGGGGCTACTTCCTCAATTCTCCTTGAATAAATTCTGGGTCCTCACACTGGCCCTTTCTCTTTCATCTGGTTAATTCTCTCTCTTATTACCAAAGATGCATTAATGAGTAATGAATGAGTGCACAGATATTAGGGCAAGGACAGGCTAGCCTCTCCCCCAGGGAGCACTCTATGCCATTGAATGAATGGAAGCCAGTCCTTTAGGAGACTCCCCATTAGTGAGTGTGGGGTGTGCATTTGGAGATCTCTGCACACATTAAACACTTCCAGGCTTTGAAGGACCTAGGACTCAAACATGAGTCTTCCTTTCTCTGACTCTCAGAATTGAGAGTTTTCAGCAATGATTTGCACACACAGGCAGTCAGACCCAAATCCCCAGCCCAAAGTTGCAGGATTTAGCCAAATGGTATTTTTAGCTTGCAAACAATGCTTGGGTATATTGGGAATTTAGCTCCTTCCTGTCAGGGCCCCAGGTTATAGCCTAGAGGGAAAGGCTCGAATCTTTGTTCCTGTTATTATGTCTGAGGAGCTCTTTGTCTCCTTTGGTTCAGTGACTCTGGGGACCCAGAAGCTCCCATCCTGTCTAGTTTGATCACAGTTCCTTCCTCTAGGGAGCTAAGTTTAACATCGTTGCACATTGGGGCAGGAGACCAGTTAGGGGATGAGGTAAAGAGCAACCAGACAGTCTGCACTCAGGGTCAGTGCAGCAGGGAGACCAGGACCGGGCCCAGTGTCAGGAGGGCAGAAAGCTTGCACCTGAGGGAATGAATGGGCTACTTATCAGCCTTCTTGGAAGTAGGGGCAACTGGTTACCTCACCAGGGTTACCTCACCCTCCCTGCTTTTCTCACCCAGCTTGTCCAAAGAATTAACTCCATCTACAACGCCAAGAGGGGAAAGAAGAGGTTAAAAAAGCTGTCTATGTCCAGCATTGAGACAGCATCACTGAGAGGTAGGCCTTGATATCTGAGCTGGTTCAGGTATCTGGGGCCCTTGGACGTTAGGAATGGGGAGAGGCACGGACTTGCCTCAATTTACCCTTCTTTGAGCTGATCACAGGATTCTGCTGCCTTCTAGGAGGGTAGAGTCCTGCCAAGAAGTAGCACATAGAAGGGGAGGGCCAAAGAGGGAAGGAAGCCATGGGATGGGTTAGTTCAGGCTTTGGACTGCACGGCCCTGATTAGGGAGGTGGGTGTGGGAATCTGCTTCTGGCAAAAGGAAAGGCCGGGCTTATAGAGCTCTGTGGTCTGTTGCCCATTTCAAATCTTCGCGTCCTGGAGGCAAGCCCTGTGTTCCAGACCTATAGGCCTCTCTTCTGGTTCAGCCTCCAGCTCAGGCCTTCAGCAGCTTTCCCCAGATCAGGACTGGGTGGAGAGGGGTTTGTATAGCAGTTAGCACCTTCAGTTTGAACTCAGGGGACCCTGGGCCCATAGAAGCCCAGACTAGGTATGATCCATCCCTTGTGAGGATAGCTGGGAGGGGGGCATGGAGAACATTGGCTGTGGGGCGGTGGCTCAGCAAGCGTGCACTCCTGCTGTTACTTTTCCAGATGAGAATAGTGAGAGCGAGAGCGACTCTGACGACAGGTTCAAAGGTGAGGTGTGGCTCCCCAAGAACACGGAACCCCTTCCCAGCCCTCTCTGTAGGGACTCGCCCCCCTCCCTCTACACATATATTTCCAACGTCCCCATTTGGCCTGCTTTGGAGAGGCAACAGGCAGGCAGGATAGCAGCCAACAGAGCAAGGAACTATAGGGGAGCCTCTCCTACTGCGTGCAAGGCAGCCCTGCCAAGTTGAACTCAGACAGCCCCCTTCACCTGGACTTCCACAAGATGTCATCCCCGAGGGTTAGGTGCTAGATTTGCCTGGTAAATGCTGCAAATCTGGAGGTTTAGAGGTGGGTTTAGAAGATTGCAAGTACCTCTTCTGGCTTAAGAAACGTGCCACGGTCTGAGGAAAACTGGTCCTCTGGAGGCCCCAAAGCCACTCACCCCCCATATCCATAGAGAGGAGGCCTGCCACCTCCCTGAAAAGGTTTTGGGAACTTCCTGTTCCAGAAGCCTTGGACAAATGTCTGTTCTTTCTCTACTGGGAAACCTGCCTAGACTTTCCTGGATGGTTATAGTATGTGGAACCTAGCTCCTTCCTTCCCTTCTCTACTGGTTCCCACAGGCATGTGGGCAAGTGGACTTTGGGTCAGGAAACTGGGACAAAGGGTCCAGGTCCAAGGACTCTTGAGAGGGGTCCAGGATGAAGCCTCCATGGAGGTCCACGTTTTCTCATGTTGACACTAGGCAGAGGTAGGTAGGCGCAGTGATACATGCCTGGGTTTGCTGGGCTCAAGCAGTCTTGCCAGCCCCAGCCCAGCCTCCAGAGGCTCCAGTAGTAGCTCCCTGAGGCAGGGTAGGGCCTTTGCACAGGCGTAGATACATTGCTCCTGCCACTTCTCCCCCAAAACCTGCCTGGACAGGGCATCAGACCAGGCTCCCGCACTTAGAGGTGGTCCACAGAGGCAGAGCCTGAGAGGGAGGCTGATGTGGAATCTGTGAGGGTCCAGCCTGCCTGTCCCCTGACCTGTGACCTGCCCCCAGCCCACACACAGCGCCTAGTCCACATCCAGTCGATGCTGAAGCGTGCGCCCAGCTATCGGACCCTGGAGCTGGAACTGCTCGAGTGGCAAGAGCGGGAGCTTTTTGAGTACTTTGTGGTGGTGTCCCTCAAGAAGAAGCCATCTCGAAACACCTACCTCCCTGAAGTCTCCTACCAGTTTCCCAAGGTGAGGCCATCTCTCCCTCCTCCCATCCCCTCCTCTAGCACCTTCTGTCTTCCTGGCCCATCTGTGCAGCAAGAAAGATCCTGGTCCTGCTGCAGTCACTCCCCTCACTGTGACAGCCCTGAGCATAGATCCTGCTAGCCAGCAGGGAACAGAGGGCTTCAGGGGGTGTGGGTTTGGGTCAGTGCTTGTTCAGAGCATGAGGATGGAGAGAACACCTCCCAGTATGCTTAGAATGAAATCCAAATTTTTTATAAGGTTGGCAGAGGGCCTGAGGAAGGGCCCCCAGGTACTTCTACTATTTTCTTTTTTTTTTAAACCATTTTATTGAGACCTAATTCACATACTGTATAATTCAGCCAGTTAAAGTATACAGTTCAATGACTTTTAGTATATTCAGAGTTGTACAATTAGAACATTTTTATCACCTCAAAAAGAAATCCTGTACCAATGAGTTGTCCCTCCCCATCCCCTACCTACCTTCCCTCTTACCACACCTTCTCTGCCCATCACCAGCCAGCCAACCTGGCCTCCTTTCTCTCTGCCTCTGCCTGGAATGTTCTTTCTTCAGCTCTGCACATGGCTGCCAGCTCTTTTTCATTCCTCATTCTCTGCCCATATAGTACCTCTTCCAGGAGATCTTTCCAAATACCTAAGATATCCCTTCCCCTGCCTGGTTCTGTCTGTCATATCTCCCTATTTATTTCCTTTGCAGCACCCTCTGAAATTTTGTTGTTGAGTATCTCACCCTCCTGACTAGAATGTGCAGGGACAGGGACCTTGCCCATGTTGTTTTCCATCGGTAGCCCCAGAGCATGACACAGGGCCAGGTGCCACAGAAAAGCGCTCATTTGGCACATATTGAATGAATAAATGATGACTCAGCCCACACCCAGACCTCGCTGTAAGAATCGGGAATGGGAACAGGATTGCTGAGAAGCAGAAGCATGCCAGTTGGTAGGATGCCATCTAGAGCTCTCAGGGGAGGAGACGCTTCTCAGCCACCCCCCACCACCTCCAGGATCCACATCTTCTCTTGTCTATCTCTCCCTATATTTCTCTCCCCATAGCTGGACCGACCCACCAAGCAGATGCGGGAGGCAGAGGAGAGGCTCAAGGCCATTCCCCAGTTTTGTTTCCCTGATGCCAAGGACTGGCTTCCTGTGTCAGAGTATAGCAGGTGAGGCCTGGCCTGGTCTGGCTGGAGGCAGGAGGGGGCAGAATCTCCTTTACCTCCATAGCAGGGGCAACTGCATGGGGCACACCCAAGTCCCAGCCTGCTCTTTTACAGCAACCTAGCCCTTCACCCCTCCTTGGGAGGGCATTCCCTCTTCTTGGGTGCTATTTCCTGGGTCCTCTGATGCTTCCCTGATGCCAGACCCCTCCCTATTCCAGTGAGACTTTCTCTTTCATGCTGACTGGGGAAGATGGCAGCAGACGCTTTGGCTACTGCAGGCGCTTACTGGTGAGTAGGGCCATTCAGTCCTTGTGGGGCTGGGCCACATGTGTGTATAAGTGTGTGTGCATGCATCTTCTTCAACTCTAGCTTGTATGAGAGCCTACATTCTGCTTCCTCGTATGCTCCATGATGCCACCGCAGAGCACATGTGCACACACACACACACACGGTCTCACACACTCACAAGGAGGAGGCACTCCTGGGATGGCAGGACTCAGAATGACCCCTTTGATCAGGCCCCAGGATCTAAGATAATCTGCAATAAGAGGAGAGAGTGAATCACCTTCTACTGGGCTGTCATATGTTTTTAACTTTCCTACACTTTTCTTCTCATTCATTTCCCTCGGGCTTCTGGGCTCTGATTGCTGATGCTAGATTGAAGGATCATATCACTTCAGCAGTATGTGTGTGCATCAGACAGGGGTGGAGGACAACCTTCCTCATGCCCATACTGGCCAGCCTGATGTGAGGAAGAATCCTGTCTGTGGTCTGATAGTGTTGGAGGCTGAGGAGGGACAGAGCAGTACCTTCCCTGGGATTCTGGGAGAGATGCCTTGAACACAGGAGAAAGGGAAGGTTTTGAAAATATAAGCCATGTTATATAGAGAGAAGCCCTTCCCCAAACCCCTTCTCGTAGTTCTGAGAAATAAACTGAGGTAAGGTAAAGAGAGTCCTGTTACACTCCTCCCTGAAGTTCACTAGGGATGTTGTTGGTTTGGGGTGTCAGCAGTGTTTAAGGGTCCCCATGCCTTAGTGGGACAAGGACTCACTAGATGCCAGTCCAGGGGCAGGACTCACTAGATGCCAGTCCTAGGCAAAGGTAATGTATAGGAGGGACCCCAAACGATGGATTCTGGGTCATTCATTCATTCATTCATTCCGAAACACGTACCATACTCCTGTTGAGGGTCAGGCAGCATGTTAAAGGCACAAAAAGATGAGTTAGACATGAATCCAACCCAATCCTCAAGGAATTTTAGATAGTCTAGTAGAGGAAGTAGAACTTTCAACATAGAAGGGAAGACAAAGGGAATGAATTATTATTTAGGACCTATTATGTTCCAGGCTAGATGCTTTAAGTATGTCATCTTTTTTGATCCTTTTAATAGTCCATGAGGTATTATTATGTCAGTTCTATAGATTAAGAAATGGAATGACTTGCCCAGGGTCACACAGCCAGTGAGAGACAGAGCCAGGATTGACCCTAAGTTCTTGAATACCAAGTCTGATATTCTTGGATCACCCCAAAGGGTAGTCCGGGGGGAAGGGATATTTGAATATTGAATGCCCAGTGAGTAGGGCTAAGGGAATGTGGAGCAGTGTGGATGCCAGGTGGGGAGCCAGGCAGAGTCCAGCATGCCCCAGGTTCACCTGGGCCTGGAGAGGAATGTTCCAAAGGCTGCCTTTGCAGGAATAGTGATGGAGCAGAGCCTCTCCTTTGCAGCGGGCCTGCTGCCCCCAGGGAAGAGCGTGTTTGTCCTGGCGTGCTCAGAGAGGGCCTGGGCTGGGTCCCTGCCAAGGGGGCTGGCACTAGCTCGGCATTCCTGTAGATTGGACACAATGATTCTAACCCAAATCCCACATACTTGATTTAATCACTTGGGGCTTTAGGGGAGGCGGGGGAGAGGGAAAGAGAGAGGAGTGAGTTTCAGGCCTAATATGGACAAAAACAGATTCTGCCTTCTCTTTAGATCTGTGACGTGTGGCCAGCAGGTTTGGAAACTGAAATAGACCCATCTGCATTTGCTTAGCAGCCTGCATGAGGGGCCAGCACCTGCTGCTCTGCTCCCTCCCTACTTGGCCTTGCCAGGCACTCAGGCCTCTGAGCCAGAGGCAGCCACAGAGTCCTGCCAGCCCCTGGCTGGAGAAGTAGACTCCTGTGGACTCATCCTAGCCTGCATTTGGGGTCTCCTTAATGCACATCTCCTCCAGCCAGTCACCTTTTCAGTCTCCTTTTTCCTTCGTTCACCGCTGGTAGCATACCTCTATTGTGTCTTTGTGTCCCTTTCCCTTCTATCCTGTCAGAAGGCAGCATGCTTTAGAGATAAGACAGCAAATCAGAGGCCAAAAGAGACTCCTGGCTCCATGACTTTTAGATGCATGCCCTTGGGCAATGGCTTAATATTTTTGTAACTCAGTTTACTCATCTATAAAATGCAGATGATAGTGCCTGAGTCACAAGGTATTGTCAGGTACCAAGCCCAGGATTCACATATGGTAAATATTCAGTAAATAGTACTTTACTATTTTCAGTTTGCCTTACTAGAATGGGGTGGATCAAGGAAGGAAGGAAAGGGGAATCTAGAATAGGAATGTTTTAGAATGTCCCCTGTGAGCCACAGAGGACTACACGGCTTGCTCCTAAGAATGTACACAAGTCCCTCTCGTTATCATTGCATCCTCTGGATTCCCAGCCTTAGAGATGTAAATCTATGAGTCACCCTAAAGCTTCTGCCATACTGCTTAATCCTTTGCCAGTCTCTGTCCGTGTCCTCCTGGAAGGAGCTTAGCAGGAGTCTGGCACCTTGGGCTGGAAGACCCAGCAGAGGCTGAAGCCTGCCCCCCAAGAGTGTCAGCCTTTCCAGACCTGGGGCCTGGTTGAGTAGAGGTTTAGTGGGGTCTTAGAGTCTTCCACTAGGAGAGCAGTCCTTAGTCTTCAGTTCCCAAGGAAAAGCAGCCAGATGTGGTCATCATGCATTCTCTGTATCTGTCTCTCTCTCCTCTGCCTCGTCCCGACCCAGCCAAGTGGGAAAGGGCCTCGGCTGCCAGAAGTATACTGTGTCATCAGCCGCCTTGGCTGCTTCGGCTTGTTTTCCAAGGTAAGAGGGCTCCGGCTTACTTCCCTCCCCTTTCCCCCAGCGGACAGCTCCCTTAGGAGTATCAGCAGCCAGCTTAGATGAGAAAACCACCTGTGTGTGTGAGTGAGTGAGCTCGAGAGAAAGAGAATGCAAGAGCAATAGAGCAGGCTCTCTGACTCCTTCCTGTTCTCAAGCCTGACTTCCCAGCTGTCCAGCTGGCATCTCCCCAGCTCCTTCTACCAGCCTGGTCTGCCAGTGTCATAGCTGTCCCTAGGCCATGGGAAGAGCCAGAGTCCTTGGGGAAGCAAAGTGCCCAGGGACCCAACTCCCAAGTGGTGTTTCCTTTGCCCAGCTCCTGGGTGTCAGGCAAGGATGAGTTAATGAGCAGAGCAGTCATTGAGTGCAAGGGAAGCAGGAAGGGTAGAGTGTAAATCTGCTGGTGAGACAGTCCTCCTGTCCCCCAGCTTTTGGCCCCAGCTGGTCAGATGCCAGGCCACCCTCTTCTCTGCCCAGGAGGTAGGGAAAGGGCAGTGCCCTGATACCCTTCCTTTTTGGACTGCTGGTGGTGGGCACAGGTCCTCGATGAGGTGGAGCGCCGGCGTGGGATCTCTGCCGCCTTGGTCTATCCCTTCATGAGAAGTCTCATGGAGTCGCCCTTCCCTGCCCCGGGGAAGACCATCAAAGTGAAGACATTTCTTCCAGGTGCTGGCAATGAGGTAGGGATTTCTGCTGCCTCTTCTTTCACACGATGGATGGGGGCTGGAGCAAGGCCTGCTGAGCCAATGCTGCAGTCCCCAGGAGGGGCAGAGCATGGCCCCTTCCTTGCTCTCCATGTGTGTGCACCTAATCAGTAGGGACTGGAGAAGTGAATGACAGAACTGTAATTGGGGCCCAACTCCCTGCAGCTGCAAGGGGGCCTTCCCTGACCTGCTTGGACTCCACTGCATTCCACCTGCCCTCCTTTAATTCATTCATCAGGGATTTCCTGGTAATGTTCTCTCACAGTCAGGGATCGCGCCACACCTGGGAGCAGTCATGAAGTTGACGTGGGACACAGCTCTGAGCTTGTGGGGTTTGTAATCTAGTGGGAGAGACCAATAGTAAATACATACACACACGTTTAAATAGACAGTTTCTAAAGTGTTAAGTGCCAAGTGCAAGCACAGGAGTGAGAGTGTGTAACAGGGGATCTGCTTTAGGTTTGGGGGGCTAGGGAAGGCCTCCTCTGAAGAAGCGACTAAGGTGAGTAGAGTCAGCTAAATGAAGTGGAGGAGGGAGACTGAAAGAGAAGGGTGTGGATGGGAGGTTATTCCAGGTAGAGAGGGAACGGCGCGGGCAAAGGCTTATGTTGGGAAAGTGATAAGGAACTGAAAACAGGTCGAGATGGTCTAAAGGGTGGTGAGCAGGGTGTGATAGGAAGCAAGGGCCACGTCACAGTGTGCCTGCTAGGCCAAGGTGAGGATTTTGGATGTCATCTAAAGCAGGGTTATAAGATCTGAGATGTTCTTTTAAAAGCTCACTCTGGCTGCTATGGAGATAATGGATGGGAGTGAAAACAGGGAGACCAGCTAAGCTCCTGTATAGCATTACAGGCAAGAGATGATAGTAGCTAGGATTAAGGTGTGGTAGAAAAATGAGGAGAAGTAGGTGGAGTTGAGATGTGTTTTAGAATTAGGAACAGTTTGAGTGGAAATAAATGTTAGGGAGATTTTAAGGCTAACTCCCAGCTTTCTCGCTTGAGTGACAGGGTAGATGATGGAGTGCTGCCTGTAGGGGGAGCAGGCTCTGAAGAGGAAGAGGAGGAAGTGGATCTTGTACGTGTTGTTTAAGATACCTGTGAGGCACCCGAGAGAAGATCCTCCTCAGACCTGGGGAACTCCAACATTTAGGGGTCCTGCAGCGGAAGAGTAGCCACCCTCAGGAGTGAGAAGACAGGAAGAATAGCAGGCCGTGGCTTGGAAGCCAAGAAGGGGGCATCTCCAGAAGGAAGGGGTGATCAGGTGAGGTCAGGGTGAGGAATGGCAAGATGCCATGAGGAATGGCAATGACAAGAGTGGATTTCAGTGGAACCAGGGCCAGGGACCCAGACGCCTGAGTGGAGTGAGTAGAGAAGTGAATTGGAGTGAGAAAGTGGGAATAGACTGCGTGGCCATCTCTTCAAGACGCTTGGTGATGAAGAGAACTAGGGAAGGGGACAGTCAGTGGTTGAAAGGGGGCTCCAGATGGTTGTCTTGAGGCTGGTGGGAATGGCCCAGCTGAGGCAGAGGTGAAAGAAGCAGGGAGGGAGAGGACCCTCTGTCGCCCAGGAGGTGGCAGGGCTGTGGGATCCGGGGAGGGACTGACTTTCATTAGGAGAAATAGGCACTTCCTTGTGGGTTGGCAGGAAGGGCCATGGCTCATAGATTTTGGATTATCCTCTGGCGGCTTCAGTTTTCTCAAAATGGAAAAGAAGGCCATTTGAGAGTGAGAGGCGGGTGCTGGGTTCTAGCAGAGGGAAGAAGAAATGGCTTAGTTGCTGCAGAGTGGGAGAGGGTCTGACTGTAGAAACACAGGGTACTGCCGGTGGCGCAAATGCCATTTCAGGGCTTTCTCTTGGCCTCCTTTCAACCACCCTCGTTTGGAGGGACTTTAGGCTTCTTGAGGGGTCTGGCGCAAGATGGCCAGCCTTGCCCTGATGGGAGATCCCAGCAGCCTGCCTGGAGCCCTTTGGGATGGCCCCACCCTCACCAGCCTCATTTCTCAGCACTCTGACTTGAATTGCTTACTGTCTCTGAACCCTGCTTCCTTTTGCCTTGAACACTCTTCCCTTCGCTCATTAGACGGCCCAAGTGAAGTATCTTGTGCTCTGAGCCACTGCCCTGACCCCTTCCTGTCTCAGCTGGGGTCTCGCCCTTCCTCTGGGACCTCTGGACCCCCGTACAGATGTGAAGCGTAGCTTCCTCCGTTCTGACACCAATCTCACAGCTGTGGTTGTTTAGACTCAGTCAGCCCCGCTGGACTGTGACCCTCGAGGGCAGGGGTGAGTGAGAGGAGGCCCAGGCCCCATGAGCTGCTTTTGTGCATTCTCACACCCTGGAGGGACCCCTGGGGGTAGTGGGAGTGTGAAGCTGCGCTGCAGAGCAGAGCCTGCTGGACTGCACGCAGACTCCCGGGGGTGGAGCGGCGTGGGAGAGCGTCACTGTGACTTCTGGGGTGGGGCAAGCACAAGTGGGGTGCGGGGGCCTCTGGGGAAACTGTGGTATGGGATTCCTTGTGTGTGCGCGGCATCGTGCTCACCACTGGGCCTTCTGGGAGTTCACCCTCCGGTGGGAAAGATAGCATGCACCCATCGCTAGGGCAGCTTGTGCCAGGTCTCTGGGACCTGGAGAGATGAGTACTGAGCTAGGACTTTGAACTTCCCTTGCTTAGACCCTGAGAAATACATGAGATGATATGGGGCTCTAAAGGGGATCTAAGAGGGAATTCATTTTTCACCCTGCTTATCAGGAGGTCTGCACCTCCTTGCTGCCTGCATGCGCTGAGAGACTGAGGAGACTCTGCAGGCCCCTGTGACAGCTGCTTTGGCATGGCCTGGGCATCAGCAGTTTCTCCTGCTCTCACAGCTAGGGTCAATTGCTATCCTTCACCCTTTGGATTGCCCTCAGGGAAGTGGCTTTCTGTGCCACAGCAGTGACCTTGGGAGTGGCCTTGCAGCACCCTGGAGGGAGGACAGCTAGGTCTGGCCCAGATACAGAAAGTCCTGCTTCCTGGCACTGTTGTGGAATAGCCAGCCCTTTCCTTGTGTTTTCCTTGTCACTGGCACAGAGATTAGACAGGCTGGCAGAGATAGAGGCCAGAATGGTAGGACAAACATGACCTCTGGAAGGAAACTCTAACAGGAAAGGGAGAGGACATGACAACAAGGACACTAGCATTGGCTTTCAAGAGGTGGCAGTCAGGGATACAGAGATGCTGCTCTTCCTAGGGCCTGGGGAGCAGCGATTGGTTGTGGGGCTGGTCAGCGTGGATGCCAAGACCTTTGTTTGGGGAGATGGACAAGGGGGCGGGGGGTACCCCACAGATAAAGCTGTGTGGTCCCGTCATTCTCCTTATCTGTAAGAATAGTCACCTCTCCTCCTTTTCTTGAGAGCCTGATGGATGGCCCATCAACTCCTTCCTTCTGGAGCCTCCTTCATCATCCAGTTTGCCCCAGTGCTCAGAGGATAGGTGTCTAAGTACTGTGGTCTGAGAGGAGACAGAGACTGGGTCTTACTGCATGGTGGGGTAGATTAGAGACCTGGAAAAGGGAAGGTGGGGGAAAGAAACCTCCAGCCTGTCACTTTGTATAGGACCCGGCGTGACACCCACCTGGCCTGCCTAGACCCACTTTCCCCCTTGCTCTCCTGCAGGTGTTAGAGCTGCGGCGGCCCATGGACTCCCGGCTGGAGCATGTGGACTTTGAGTGCCTCTTCACCTGTCTCAGTGTGCGCCAGCTCATCCGAATCTTTGCCTCGCTGCTGCTGGAGCGTCGGGTCATTTTTGTGGCAGATAAGCTCAGGTAGGGCCCAGCAGGGTAAGGGGAAGAAGAGGGGGAAGGCACATCCACTAATTAATCTGACATGTATTTACGAGCCCTGGTATATGCCAGCTACTGTGGTATTGGTGTGGTAGGATTGAGAACCCAAGGGAGGACTTGGCCTGAGGGAAGAGGTGGGACATTTGTTCTTTTGTCCCAGCCAAGTGTGCAGATACAGATACATTTTATGGAGAAAGGTAGAGTAAGGAGATTTCTGGCTGATGGCTGCACTTCCTCTGAAAGGGCAGGCAAGGCCATCTCTGTGGGATGCTGAGTTTGAGGAGAGGTATGAATTCTAGGCAGAACCACTGTGAGGAAGGGCCAAGGGCACTGACTAGAGGTAGGAGGAGTAATGCTGAGCCCCCCAGGGAGGAACCAGTTAGGGCATCACCTGCAGAGGACAATTGATTGGCATGACTCAGGGCCAGGCACTTGGGGATTTGTGGAGAAGGACAAGGTGAGGCACTGAGGGTGCTGGGGAGGAGACTGGTTGCAGGAAGGTTGTCTAGTCAAACTAGGAAAGGGAAAAAATGTCCAGAGACAGGAGGTGCCTGTGGGGCAGGGGAGCTGGTTTAGGGTGAGTAAGAAAAGAGCTGGTTGGATCATAGGTCTTGGTCAGAAATGTTGACATTTATGATTTTACAGGTAGAGAAGTTCTAGATGCCAAGATCTGGTTGTGGCCATGGGAGGGGTGTTGTGGAAGGAGCTGAACTCTTCCAGGCAGTCAGGATTTAAAAGAAAATGTCTCAGTCCATTCAAGCTGCTGTGACAAAATACCAGACTGAGTGGCTTGTAAACAACAGAAATGTATTTCTCAGTTCTAAAGTCTGGGCTTCCAAGATCAGGGCACCAACGCGGTTGTGTTCTGGTGAGGGCCTGCTTCTTGGTTCACAGCTCATGCCTTCTCACTGTGTCCTCATGTGGTGGAAGGGGCGAGGGAGCTCTATGGGTCTGTTTTATAAGGACATGCATCCCATTCATGAGGGCCCCACCCTCATGACCTGAGTACCTCCCAAAGGCCCCACCTCCTAACACTATCATATTTGGGTTTTGGATTTCAGCATTGGAATTTTGGGCACAAATATTTAAACCATAGAGTATGTGTGGGGAGTGGACAGGCAGGGAAAGGATGAGATCTTGGCAACACATTGTGTATTTTTTTGGTCAAAGAATCCATCACAGGAAGAAGTGGTTTCTTTAGATGGGTAGAATTAATTCAGTCATTTGGACATTTGTTAACCTACCTGCTTTGTGCCATACCACGTGCCAGGTGCTAATAGGAGGGGGAGAAAAGGAAAATCCTCTTTCTGGTTGGTCCTCAGTAGGCCCAGGCTCCCTGGGGTCTTTCTGTCTGTGTGAGGGGCTACTGAGGAGAGCTGGAGAAAGGGGCCCCTAAATGCCCTCACAGGGCACTGGGGCAGGAAGCCAGGCCCACCCTTGGCCCAGGAGAAGGAAGAGGAGGAAATGCCAGGGCTGCTGACTTTTCTAGAGAAGGCCAGCCTTAGAAATGAAAACAGCCCCTCACTTCCTGCCCCAGTCTCAGTGTTTCTTTATCCCACAGCTCTTTGTATCTTGTGGGCCCATCAGGTCCTCAGGAAGGGACCAAGCCCAGCAGCTGGAACTAGCCAGGTACAGCAGCTCCATGGGGCCCCTATCTGCTACCTCTCTGCCCCCTGGTTCACTATCCATCAGCAAAGCCACTGGCTGCCCAGCTGTGAGGTTCTGCTCTGGCCAGAGCTTGGTGTCCCTAATGAAGGCTGGACCCTGAGGTTTCTTTTCCTGAAGGTTCCATTCCCTCACTCAGGGCAGGGCCTCATCTTTGCCACCCCCACCCATAGCCCAGCTCCACTAGGACTCTGAATAGAGCTGTTGTTTTCTGTGGCTGCCCCTGCCTCTGAGCACATTCCTGCACCATTCTGGAAGGAAAGTACCCCAAGGCTCTGTTCTTTGCCTGGCTCAGCATTCAAGTTCTGCCACTCTTGGATCTTAGAAAAGATGTCTATCATGCACAGGGTCTGCCTGTGACTGGAGAGGGGCAGGGTAGGCAGTCCAGTGATGGCATGCAGGCCTGAACTGGGTCAGGGCTCAGTAAGTCCAGCCAGCTCATGTTCCATTGCTCACATTTTAGGTTTTCCACAAATCCTTTATCCCTCTGGTCTAGTTTTATGTCTGAGTATATGGGAGGGATGCACTATGTATATACACAGGATCTGCAGTGATCAGCCCTAGGGGTTATGTAAAATCTTCTGCCTCCAAAGACCCAGGCTCATTGGAGGGGATTGTGGAGATCAGTGTGTCCCTCCACCCTGAGACAGCCCTTTTCTACATCTTTTCTGGATGGCTCTCCTCACCATGTGGGGAGCTGTTGTCCCCAAGGGAAGGGCTGTCAGAGTCAGGACACCTGGGTCTCTTCCTCAAGGCCCAGCACTATTTTAGGTGTCCATAGGGTGGCAGGGGAGCCAGACAAGGCACTGGGTGACAAAATACTTGTGAACATCCAAAGATCCTTCTGTAAGAGGGGGTTTGCTTCTGTCATGGATTGAACCGTGTTCTCCTACTGGTGGGGCATTAGGAAAGGGAGAGAATCCCTGCTGGATCTGATCAAGTAGAGTCTATTATGGCCAATAGGTGGGACCAATAGAGGCAGCGGGTCAGAGTGGGAAAGTCAGGTTTAAGACTGAACTTGACTGCAGGCCTCTGCCTTCTCATCTATAATATGGTCCCTAGGGGAGAGCCTTTGATTTTCCTCCCAACAGATGGGTTGTTCAAGCCGGGTGGATCTCCTGTGTTTACCAGTGCCCCACACCGGCCCTTCACGTGGGGAGTACACACTTCCTTCTAGCTAGCACCCTACAGCTCTTCCTCCCTGTCTTGCACTGGTCATTCTGCTCTGATAGCCGGCCCTGTAGTGCTGCTGGGTCTAGAGGCCTGGAGCCCCTTCTAGGCTGAGAGAGGGATGGCCCCACTGAGACCTTAGGTGAGGAAAGGTGGGAGCGGACACTTTTCTCAGCTTGGTGGAATGGTGCCAGGTGCCTCACCTCAGTCAGGGGTCCTCAGTCAGACCACTTTTTGCAATTAGGGAGAGGGGGGTTAGGATAGAGGGCAGAGTAGTCAAGTAACACTGGACTGGGAGATGGGACAACTGGTTGTGTCCTAGGTCGGCCACTTATGAAACCGACCCTTCATATCCGTGGCCCCAGCTGTAAAATGTGGAATTGATAAGATGACCTATGAGGGCTTTCTAGTTCTTCCACATTATGAATTTGTGATCAACTCTTGCTTGCCTTATCCTCATACTCCCTGGCTTGAGCTGATACTCCCTCTCTAAGTTAGGCCTATCTGTACGTTAGTGTGGCTCTTGGGGTATGTAGGTGAGTCCTTTGTGTGTTCAAGTGTTGCTATACCTTAATCACTGTTCCTAGGTCGAGTCCCACAGAGGGTGGTACCAGTGTCCTTGAGGCCCTGAGTGGTGGGAATGTGGGGTCTTCACCAGCCTGCAGGGGCAGACCCAGACCTGAACTCCATTAGCACTTTTGTTGCACTGGGAGGTTTAACCTATAAAAGGATGTTTTGAACCCATAGCAGGCTCTAATTCCCCTTCACTGAAGGTGCCGGGCCTGGGTTCAGGTGCTTTGTCTCTGTCTGTCTACCAGTACCCTCTCCAGCTGCTCCCATGCTGTGGTGGCCTTGCTCTACCCCTTCTCCTGGCAGCACACCTTCATTCCTGTCCTTCCGGCCTCCATGATTGACATCGTCTGCTGTCCCACACCCTTCCTGGTTGGCCTGCTCTCCAGTTCCCTCCCCAAACTAAAGGAGCTGCCTGTGGAGGAGGTGGGCCACCTGGGGAGTCAGCTGGGCAAGGAGGGGAGGAAGGAAGGGACAGAAGGAACAGAAACTCCCAGAAGGGAGGGGTGGAGGGGGGAAAAAAGGGAGAAAGACCACTGGGATCTTCTCACTTGTGGCTTCTGGGCCTCTCTACCCAGCTCTTATCCTTTCTCCCTGGGTGGTCTGTCCCTGACTGGAGTTATTCCTATTGTCTGACTCTGGGAGTCCAGGAGGTCTGGAGGCCTGGGGAGGGCATTGCAGGGACTCACACCTTGCATCACTGCCACTAATGACTCTTTCTCTTAGGCACTGATGGTGAATCTGGGATCTGACCGATTCATCCGACAGGTAAGAGCAGGACACCACAGAATGTGGCCTGCCCTGGGTGGGTGCTTGTTTGATGCAGGCTGGAGAACACCCAGCACTGTTACACACATTGCTTAACTTTCGTAGCCTCTTTGTTGAGCTCTCTGGGTTCCATATTCACAGAATAGACAAAGGCGGGGAGAGGCTGATCTGAGAAGTCTTGACCCCAACAGGATCTGCATTTCTGGTTGGGATTATCCAGTGTGACGGGAGTGTAGGTGTGTGGAGAGCATGGCCTGGAAGTCCAAACACTTGAGCTCTGGCTCTGCCAGTTTTGAGCTGCATGGTCTTGGCCAGGCCTCCGAAAATGCCAGGGAATGTCAAGGTTTGCAGTCATCATGTCAAGTTCAAAAAGCCTTTGCTAGTCTGGCTCTCCACTAAGGAGCATAGCCCACGGTGTACCCCCTGGGAATGTACAGTATGTTACACACCACTGACAGCTGTGACTCCTGGGGACAGGCATCAAGGTCCAGACAGACATGGAACCAGACTGCAGAAACAGGAAGGACAGCCTAGCCTTATAACTGAGACACAGGCCAGGCCACAGTTTCCCTGCCCTGAACCAGCTCTGCTTCCCACTTTGGAACTAGAGATCAGGGTGCTGGGCGAGGAACCCCTGACTGGTCCTGGCCAGTGAATGCTACCAACTGTACCACTTTTTACCTGTGTGACCTTGGACAAGTTTCTTAACCTCTCTTTGTGCTCAGCTTCTCATTATAAAATGAGGTTGATAACAGCATCAGGTTTATTGGGAGGAATGAATAAAATTATATATTTAAGTTCTTCAAACAGGGCCTAGCATATAGTAAGTGCTCAGCCAGTGTCAGATGTGATTATGATCACTGTGTGTTTTCCGTCTCCTATAGATGGATGATGAGGACACGCTGTTACCGAGGAAGTTACAGGCGGCTCTGGAGCAGGCTCTAGAGAGGAAGAACGAACTGATCTCCCAGGACTCTGACAGTGACTCTGATGATGGTGAGTGAGGCTTGCCCTGGGCAGGATCAGCTCTGCCCCCAGACTCCCTCTGCTCTGGGTCTGGGCTTCATGGTACTGGGACCCTGTTTCTACACACCAGACCCTTCTGGTTGATGAGGCTTCAGATATAGGACCTTGGTCTCAGTCTAGCCTAGAAATCTCTAGCCCCACTACCAGTGGGCTCAGGGAATAATGGGACTAAGGGGAGAGAAGTATTGTGGTGTCTTGTCAAAGAAACATAAACAACACTGGGGGCGCTTCTAGTGAGGCCCAGGCTATAAAGCTACCCTCTTCCCTCTAATTCTTCTCTACCTCAGGAGGTTTGAGAAGGAAAACCCAAAGACATGTGGCAACCACAGGACTCTTTTTGCTGACAGAAAACTAGTTATTCCTCCCTCTGGGGCCTTGCCTTGAGCCCCTGCAGGAGACGGAGGTAACTTCCTCTTCTTGTGAAGCCAGGAAAACCACCAAGGGTGAGGAGTGTGGGGAAAGAGATCCTCTGGTCTCTGATTTCCACTCTCATTCACTTGTGAATATTTGCCAACTTCCATGTTCAGACAGTCATTTCTGATCTTCCAGCTCAGGGGCTAGTTACAAGGCCAGGAGCACAAGAGATAAGGTTTCAAAAACAGATAAGTGGTTCTGGCTGGAAGTTCTCTTGGGAGAGAGGGAAACAAAACCAGCTGGAGGGTGGGGTTGCAGGTTGGAGATTACAGATTCTTGACCTGAACCTCAAAGATTATCTTTTCTCTTCCAGAATGTAATACCCTCAATGGGCTGGTGTCAGAGGTGTTTATCCGGTTCTTTGTGGAGACTGTTGGGCACTACTCCCTCTTCCTGACCCAGAGTGAGAAGGGGGAGAGGGCCTTTCAGCGAGAAGCCTTCCGCAAGTCTGTGGCCTCCAAGAGCATCCGCCGTTTTCTGGAGGTTTTTATGGAGTCTCAGATGTTTGCTGGCTTCATCCAAGACAGGGAGCTAAGAAAGTGTCGTGCAAAGGGTAAGGCCAGAAGAGCTTGGGGTTGGGGGCTATGGGCCCTCTCCTCTACATTTTCTGCTACTACAGGGCTGAATAGTTAGGTACTGTGATGGAAACTCTTCGGTATCATCAGCGAGGGCCAGTCCTCCTAACATTCCTTTCTTCTCATAGAAACTGCCAAGGGAGCTCTCTTCTGCTCCTGTCCCAGTAGATGCTGTCACAAGACTGTGCGCAGGCTGGAGCCACGTGGTTAGAGAGTAGGACTCCTCTCTACCCAAGAGTGGCATGCCATTGGTTGCCCATCCCCTCCTCAGATGCCCTTCTTATTCAGAGAAAAAGACAAGACTGAGCAATTTTGGGGGTTCTGAGAATCACAGGTTGGAAAAGCCCTTGAAGAAGATTGAGCTAGCTTTCTGTCTGAGGTTGGTGGCAGCCGCCGTTCAGAGGTTCAGCTCACTCTAGGACCTTTTTTATAAAATCTCATCAAGATCTTTCTGTCTAACCTCAGGGTTGTTATTTCTTCTATCCACTACTACTGCCCATTTAGTCTAACAAATCTTTTGGAACAACATAGTAGAGTGATTTAAGAGCAACTAGAGAAGGTGCCCAGTTCTGAAATCAGGAATGGCATCTTTGCCTTATGGAATACAGTTCAGGGCCAGGGATGTGCACTGGGAGCCAAGGTACTGAGGGCTTCTTGCTTCAGCAATGAACACAGTGAGATGTCATTAATTATAGTTCCAATGAAACAGTCTGAATTCTAACAAGATGCTGCCATAAATTATAATTGCAGATCTTCAGTTTCTCCGTTTTGGGGATCTGTGCCCATGATCCCCTGCAATAGGCCTCCCCTTTCCTCCCTGCAATGACTGTTCTCTTCCCTGTTCCTCCTCTTTCCCAGGCCTCTTTGAGCAGCGAGTGGAGCAGTATTTAGAGGAACTCCCAGACACTGAACAGAGTGGGATGAATAAGTTTCTCCGAGGTTTGGGTAAGAAGCATGGTCACTAATGAGATGGGTGTTCAGCAAGAAGGCTGTGTCCAAACTTCTCTAAACCAGTACCATCATTGGATATTTATATTGGGGCTGTAGACCGAACAGTAAGAGATCCCCTGGCGAAGAGGTTCCCAGCCCAGTGCTCCAAGACCATTTACCACATTTACCAAACTGCAGAACCAGGAGAAACCACAGATCCCTACATAAATCAGGTCTTTTTCAGTGTACTCCTTCCTGAGTGAATATGAGGATGTTAGGGGCAGGGAGCTTTTCTCTAGGCCATAAAGGAGTCTACAGAAGTCGAGGTGCTAGAGTGTCCTTCTCTGAAAACCTCCACTCCCTTGAAAGAGCTCAGCCAATGAAATCATGGAATCACAGAATGTCTCAGTTTAAAGGGAAATTGGGGCCAAAGAAGCTAAATAGCTTGCCCATATAGCCCCACAGTGATTGATACCAGTGCCCTAGTTAGAGCTCTAGCATATTTTCAATGCCCTGAATCAGCTCTGTCACAGCTGAAGTCCAGTCTTTCTAATCCTGTCTCCCACTGAGAGGGAGGGTTAGGGCTATTGGAAGAATTGATAATGAAACATTCTCACTCTTGCCCTCTCTGACCCACAGGCAACAAAATGAAGTTCCTCCACAAGAAGAATTAAGCCCCTTTCCCAGTAAGAGTCCAGTGCCTTGCAGAGCCTGGAGCCTGTGGAGGGGGCCAGCTTGGGACCCTCTGGGCCAACTGTGGCTGCTCTGCCCCCACAGACCCCACCTTCCAAGCCAGCCCACCTCTGCCTTCACGATATCCCAGGATACTGTTTGTAAATAATCTGCTGTAAGCTTTCTTATCTCTTTTTGTAACAAGCAAAGAGAATCTGGTAAATATTTGTATATTCCCAAGGGGCTGGGTGCTGGCGACTAGCCAATTATGTGCAGCTGACTGTCTCAGCCGAACCACTGATCTTTCCCTGGAGGCTCCTGGCCTGCCTGCCTGAGGTCCCTGCTGCCAGTCTTGGGCCCTGGAGTGCAGATGCTGTCTTGTTCTGTACAGGACTTTTTTTTTTTTTTTTTTTTTTTTTTTTTTTTAATCTTAGAGTTTCTATTTTTTTCTAGTAGTCCCCTCCCCTGACCCTCTGTTTTTGAAAGGCAAAGGCCAATCAATCCCCATTTGCAGTATGGTACCAGGCTCTCAGGTCTGGCCTTCTCTTGTTCCTCCTACCTTTGTGATGGTCAGTGAGTCATGGGAAGCCCACCCCTCCACCCCCCAGCTGTGCCAGTGATCTCTGGGCCCAGCTCCCAGTCCGTGGTGGCCATGATGCGGTACAGGGCATCCCTCCTTCCCACCATCTACGGGTGTTCTCAATAAACAGTGTACAGTTGTTTGGGCCCAGAGCCCTATGTGTTCCTTGGCTTTATTCATTATCTAGAGTTCTCTCTCCTGGGGGAAGGGCTGAGATAGGCCAATCAGGAATGAAACACCATCATGTAGGGGGTTGAGTACCTCATTAAGAGTTTAGCTTTAGTGTGAGTCACTTACCTCCCCTGAAATCAAGTTCTCTAGCTTGAACTGTGTGACTGGTCTTAGAAGATACCTAGTCATCATTCTGTTCACCTTTCCTCTTCAGTAACCCAACTGTTCAGACTCTCTGTGCATGTTCCCACTGATGCAAAGAATGCTCAGTGCTTTTGGCCCCACTGTTAGGTGAATCTTAACATTTTCCTATTTAGTATGAAGCCCTTAAGATATGATTGAGTATCCTGATATTGGTGGGGTGAAACTCAGCAAAAGCCAACCCAGGCTTGCTCATAGCTCTGGTCTGTTGCCTACAGCTCTTCTGTCATTCTGTGACTAGTTTTTCCTGTTGGAACCCGAGGTTTGCATGCAGAAATTTCTGCTACATTTCATGGAAAAGCAAGAAGAGAAACAGGGTGGGAAATATAGGCGGCTTAGGCTTTCCACCCACCCAACGCTTTCGCAGAGTAGAGACCTTGAAAATTGCCAAGATGAGGCATTCAGCTGGAATTCTTTTCACTGGAATTTGGTTTGGGTCTGGCAGGATTTGAACCAAGGAGTAGAGCTTTTCTCTCCTTCCACCCTGGCCTACTTAAACAGGAGACAAAACCCTGCCCTGAGTCCCTTCCCTTCTCCCTGCTTCCACTGATGTCTGCGCAGGTCCCAACCTGTCTGTGGCTTGAGGTTGCTAACTGCCTCATAAAGCAAAGTAGCAGGTTTGTCTTCTGGGAAGACAAAGTTGTCTTCTCAGAAAAAGCCTACTGTATAGTTGGCTTTGGCATCTTCCAGGTATAGAGAGAAAAATGCTTATAACCATAAAGTCCAGAGTCCAGTGTAGTTACCGTCCTTGGCTTCATGATAGTCATAGAAGTGGATTCTTTAACAATATAATAATAATTTCCAAAAGGTGCTCCTTCTTTCCTTCTCTTATTTCCTCTTTTTTAACGTGATTTCAAAGAACCCTCAAGATGTGATCAGATCACATGATATATAGGTATAAATGATTTTTTTAGAAAATTTGAAACTTTTATATATCTTTAAAATTTTAAGATACCTAAGATTAACCCAAAGGATTCCTTCCTCCTACGATGGCCACAGTTCTCATCCTAATTCAGATAATCAGTACTGGCACATGATGCCTCTGGTTAGGCTGCAAAGGTCCATATGGTGAGTATTATGGGCAAGACACAGAAATTTCTGGGGGGAATGTAGAGGAGGGTGTGACCAGGGGATCTGGTGTGGGGTTGACAAAAAGTGGTCAGACCTTCTTTTTAAAAAAAAAAATTTTTTTAATGTTTATTTATTTTTGAGAGAGAGAGAGAGAGAGAGAGAGAGAGACAGAGCGCATGAGCAGGGGAGGGGCAGAAAGGGGGAGACACAGAATCGGAAGCAGGCTCCAGGCTCCGAGCTGTCAGCACAGAGCCCGACACGGGGCTCAAACTCATGAACTGTGAGATCATGACCTGAGCTGAAGTCGGACACTCAACTGACTGAGCCACCCAGGCTCCCCAAAAAGTGGTCAGGACTTCTTTCTAAGCTCTGTTTCACATGGTCTCTTGACCCCTAAACAGATGGTTCTCAACCCTATCACCATCCAACACTACTTTTCTATAGCAAATACTCTTAACTCTACCCTTTACTATCTTGAAATGAAATTCATAGATAATATAACCTACCTAAACACATCTTAACTTTAATATAAATAGGGATAAATAAAAGTATTTTGTTTTAACATGTATTTAAATATGTAAATGCTTGGGCACAGATACACTTAGAAGACACAGTGAGGTCAGATGCTCACACCTATACATAGAGTTACTGTGAACGCAGTAGCTACACATGCAGACAGAGAAAAGTGTTTTGTATTAGTAACTCAGATTCTACTGAGTACGTACTAAGAGAGCTGAACAACTTTTGGTAGTATTCTGAAGAAAACCCAGTACGAACTTCCATTGACTTAAACAGCATTTGAAATCCTGGAAAGCTGAGAAGTATATGAACTGGAACAAAAAGTTTATTACATGTAAAATGATCTAAACTAAAATTTTCTTTGTTGTTTGGAATCAACCCCATACATGGCAGGACATTTAGCACTATGCTTGGTTGCTTCCCCTCCCTGTGACAAAAACTTCCCTCCCCATTTATTTCCAAATTGCACCCCCTAAAGGATGGTATTGACACCATTGAGAACAAATGTCCTTAAATAGTGCCTTTCTGACAACCCTGGGTCTGTTGCTCAGGGGTAATACAGTGCTGTCTCCTTTACCAGAAGCCCCAATATCTGTGGAGTGTCAGCCCTCTATTCTGGAGTTTAAAAAGGTCCAGGGTTTTCTCCTCAATCAGTATGGTAGAGCAGGGCAGGCTGCCCCATATCTTTAAATGCTTATTTTCTCTCTCTCTCTCTTTCTTTACTAAGTAACCATGCTCTGTAAGCAGTAATGTCAAAAATGAGGAGAGGAGTGTGGGCTTAAGGGCAGTATTTTGAAGGAGTGCCCCTGGAAAACAGTATTATTCCAACTCTGGCTCACATCGAATGGTGTGTGAAATTAGAGACCTAAAAAAATCACTCTGATTATAATCACAGCTCAGTTATATTTTTGTTAAAAATAATACCCTTTATTTCCCATGTAGACTTGTAACTTACCTTGTACCCAAAATGACTTATTTATAAAGATACATAAACTATTTTTTTAAAAAAACTTAAAGTGGGAATAAAAGTAAAAGAGCCAGAATGAAGCATAATGAATGCTTTAACACTTTTAAGGATGATACACAAAATTATTTTCTTGAGCCAGATAATGTGGTGGTATGCATTACAAAACATCTTAGGTTTATTTGCCTATGCAGGTGGTGGTGGGTATCACATAAAAGGTCATGAAAACTCTAGACCAAGAGAAAATACTACTTTTCAGTACTGGCAAGCTATTGGTAGCTTTCAAATTATTTTCTGTCCATTTATATTGCCTTTTAATATGTAAATAATATGCATTTGGCTAAGCAAGAAACTCAAACTACCAAAACATACATCTCTCCCAAAGTTCATGAGGAAATGCCGGCTCAGTTTTATGTTCTTCCAGAATATTCCCGCGTGTGTACAAGCAGGTACCCAAAGTAACTTGAACATAGCCGGCGCTCATCTTTTTGAAAACTGAAACTAATTCTGAGAAGTTTGGAAATTCCCCTTCTAACGTGTATAAAGGCCATGTTAACGCAAGTGAGGCCGAAGCAGGATCTAAAGCGCTGTGAGGTTAGCTGGCCCCCCCCCCCCCCCCCCCCCCCCCCCCCCCCGGAGGGGCCCACTCCCCCCGGGAGCGGGCCGGTATTTAACTCCCCCACCCCGGCCTTGCAGGGGAAAGTCTCCAGGCCGCGCGACGCAGCGCGGCCCGCCCCCGCCCCCTGCCGGAACTGGCTGAGCACTGAAACTGAGCAGACGCCGAAAGGGCTTCCGGCCGTAGGAGTGGTAAAGGTCAACGTGACCCCGGAACCAGAACTTCACACACTCCGGAAGTAGTTCTCAGGGGCTGAAGGAGTAGAGCTGCCTAACGTGGGTGTTGAATGACGGCGTCGCCAAGGTAGGGCGGTGTACGCCCGTGAGGGCAGGCACGGGAGTGCCAACCTCTGCAGGTCTCTGGCTGTCATCCCCCTAGCCTCCCTTCCAGTGGAGGCGGATGTAGACGCTGAGCCTACCCAGCCAGAAGGCACGTATTTGAATTTAAAACAATTCTTTTTAGCAGATTTTGATAACGGGGTCCCATTTTGCAATTATGTGGCCGTTATTGCCAACAAAGCTTGTTATAGCTACAGCCTCGAGGTTTGAATAAAAATATATTTAAAGCACACATACCTTAGGCCGGAAGTTATCTCCTTGGCAATTCAAGCTTATGGAAAATTTAGCTGTTAACCTTATGTGCTTGGTAACACTTTTTCACAATTTGAATAGGTAAACGAATGGTTTAAGGAAATGGGAGTTACAGGGGTACCTGACAAAATTCTGTTCCCCATGTATGGGAGGGCGTTAACTCTATATACATATATCAGCTACTAGAGACCTAGCAGTAGGGGCCTCTGTGCCTACAGGGCAGGCTCAAAGCTTGGCAGTTTCAACATTTTGTTACCTCCGCGTGGACCATTGTTAATCTAAGCAGTGGTACCTTGCACTCAACTGAAACAAAGTCACAGCGTAATGTTTGCATTTGGTCCCATCAAATGAACCAAATGGTCACTACAGGTCTGCTTGGAACATGAACGTATGGCTTTTCATTGGTCACTTAGCTTCCTTGGCATAACACCTGCAAAAAGAAATCAAAGCGTCTGCCAACTTGTTAGTTGTAGATGCTTGAGTAAATGAACCAGGCAACTGACCCTGCCCTTCCCAGGCCAGATACATGGTCTGGTACCTCAACTGTCTTCGACTTAAAATAGCTGAGGGACTTTCACGTTCAGGATGTCCATTTACAACAGGATTGGAAGGAGTATTATCCCACTCAACCCCATCCTGTTTATGGACAGTGAGGCTACATGGTACAAATAATGAATTTCCAAGAAAGACCCTGGCTATTAAGGAACTAATTTTCATCTATCTTTCACTAAACCCAACCTGTCCAGGCTTAACCATTTTGCTGGTCAGCCCTACCCCAATTCACCCAATCACCAAGTCCTGTCCATTGGGTCTTGTGAATCCTACTTTGTTTTCTCATTCCTATTTCCTTGGTTCTCCCACTGTAGCCCACTCCCTAACTACATTCTCCCTTGAATGCTTATTGCCCACCTAACACTTGCTTAAGTTTTCCAAGTTGGTAAGCATGTATGCTCTTTCCTCTGCTTTGATCATTTTGCCTTGACTTAATCAGACCAAGGGGCTTTTCTTGTCTGCTTCCCTGTCAAAAAGGTTTAGTAAAGCCTTCCATTTTACTTAATCCACACAATCCTCAATTTTAAAGATGAGAAAACTGGACTAAACTTAAGCCACCACAGCTGTTATGGTTTGGACTGCAATCTCAAACTTCATCTCAATCTTTTAAGATACTGTATTTATACATCTTTGGATCTTCAGTGTCTATTTGGAATCAATTAAACATTACTCTTATCAACTATAACCTGTTTAAACTGATGGCCTCAGCTTCCATTTTATAGGTACACTATGGGAAAACCCATGGGTTTTATCTTCATCAGGACTATTACAAAGAAGCAAATCCAAATGATAAAGTTATTTGTACAAGGGAGGAAAGCCTTCCTGGCACTTTTCTTAACCAAATCCACAAAGTTTGCTCCCCTATGCTTCCTTATGTTTGAGGGTCTGCAAAATCCTCACCTGATTCCAGCTTCTGGCTTTTAGGATTTCCCAAATTCTATACTAGGTACATTTCAGACCAGAATCATTAATATCTCATGATGTATTTCTTTGAACATTACGACTCCTCTGCACAAGGACACAGGCTTTCTAGATTCCAAACCACTCTGATGTGTAAAAGCCCTGGTGCACTTAACATTCAGATTGGTAGGCCCCATCTCAAGATTTTGGTTATGACTAGAACAGTGTGGTACAAGATGAGGGAGCCAAGGAGGAAAAACTTTAGTTTCAGGAATTACATCTTTCACAATTGCTTCAATCCTAACACATTGTTCACTATTTAAAATGTGCCTATCAAACTGAGTCTTCCTCTTTCCGGGTGCCTGGCTCAGTCAGTAGTGCATGCAACTTGATCTCTGGGTTATGAGTTAAAGCCCCCACACTGGGTGTACAGCTTACTTCAAAACAAAACAAAACAAACCCCTCCACACACAAAAATCCCGAATCTCCCCCCTGTGAGCCATGCATGACAGTTAAGGGTATTCTCCCACTCACTGTATTTTCAGAGTATACAATGCAGAACAGGCCTTTCAACTCTAAGATACACAAATATGCTATCAACAAATATTCTCACTTTATAAATGTTCAAGGTAGGTAATGGGCCAAGTCCTTTTAAGTACTGGTGCTATCTCTTGCACATTTTCTGAGTTGGCAAAGGAGCTCAGGCCCTCATACCCTTACTCCTGGATCTGTTACATGGCTTTCAAATGTACAGGTAAGAGAGGTAGGGGTGCTAAAGAACTTACACCCAGACCAGAAGAGAAAAGCAGTTGTTAGTATTTAATGAACCTCTCTCCATGTGGCTTCAGGCTACCAGGACACAGGCTCCCCCCACACCCTTAATCTTCTCCTCAGCTCTTCTACTGAAGAATTTGGCCTTCACGATGACAGGCTGTTTGGGGAGCTTTCCCTTTCCCAATACTTTGTAGTAGCCCTGGAGAGATTGGGAAAAAGAAAAAAAAAAAAGAGTTTATAACACACACCATTGCAGGTACCAACTCCCTGATGCGTATAAAGAAAGATGTCTGCCAATCTGCTCCATCTAGGAACTGGGAGGGCATGTTTCTGATCTGGGCACTACCGGGGGCACAGAATGCCCTCGCCAGTGAATCAAGACCAGTAGATTCTCTCTGAGGACTCTAGCACACCAGGACAAGAGATGTGTCAGGATGTGACTCTAGCCTCAGGCAAAGCACAAACTCCCCTCTCCAATTACTAGCTGATTAACAACAAAAAAAGAAAAAGAAAAAAAAAGAAAGGGAAAACCACATTCCCAGCAGTATTCCAAGAAGTCCTGACCATGAAAATTGCTCAAGTGATGTTACACAGGGAAAAGGGATTTAAAACTTAATTGAAAGCCCCCTTAAGATTTAGAATACCTCCACACCCATGGGAGCTGACGCTACGCCCAGAGCTCCAAAAAGATATACAAAAATCCTTTGTCATCATCAGTGTTTTGGGGTGTGGGTGGGAATCTCTTCAGATAATGTAGCTCCTTAAATAACAACCAAACATATTAGGACTTTATTCTGTAAGGGGAATAAAGATTCAAGAGCTGTGCCTCATGTAAGCAGACCAGAGCCAGTTGAGTTAACATACTGCCAAAAGCTCAGGCCAGAAATGCAAACCTGTACAAATCAGGGCAACAGTGGGAATGAAATTATGGATTGGAAAAACATTCAAGAAAGAACAAATACAAGTACTTGAATGAATGAGGGACTGGAAAGATTATTATTCTTCCAATGTTTTGCTTGAATCACAATTGAGCTCAATTTTGGTGAGTTAGCTGTGACAATTCTATCAAGAGGTGGACCAGTCTGAGGGCACCTGGGTGGCTTAGTCGGTCAAGTGTCCAACTCTTTATTTCAGCTCAGGTCACGATCTCATAGTTTGTGGAACTGAGCCTCGCATCAGAATTCTCTCTGCTGCTCCCCACTCCTGCATGCAAGTAATCTCTTGCTCTCAAAATACACATTAAAAAAAAAAAAAAAAAAGGTGGAACTGTCTAGTAGATAACTGGGTATGGATTCCAGGCAGGAGATCAAGTAGATTAGATTACGAAGAATTTTAAGACGCAAGGACCATATAAAGGTAACAAATATTCACTCACCGATCGCACCACATCAATGATAGGAGCAGCTCCAGTCTTGTTTTTGGCAGCATTTACCCGTGTCTGCTCACTGACCAAGGTCCACAGTTTATCAAGGTTAACAGTTGGGCAGAAGCTCTGGTTCCTTTTTAAGTGGTAATGCCTCATACCAACTTTTCCAAAGTAACCTGGATGACTGGGAAGAGACGGGCACTTTAATGATCTCCCTTTAGTGACGTTTACCATCCTCACGGTCCATCTCCCTCGGTTATAGTGTAAATTGTTCACTGGTGGATTATAGTGAAATAGCAGGTACCCCATTCGTTGCTGAATTAAAACAAATCTTTAAGAAAAGCCTCCAAAGATGTTCAGGAGTAAAAAACTACCCTTATTTCATGGAACCAGAAGTCACTTAGAAAGTAAGAGGCAGTGCCAAGACTAAAGGTCTTCCAGCTCACTTGACAGCATATTATGGAAAATCAACACATTCTTAGAATAGAGGTTTTCTAAGCAAATTTGGGGGAATAAGTGAATCTAACAGGTATACAGGTTAATCTGATGCATGTCACTAACCCGGTGACTGACTATGCCATGAGGGTCACAGCCAGTGAATAAGGTGAGCAATTACTCTTCGAGGACTCTAGCACACCAAGGCAATAGCTGATACCCAAGCGTGACTCTAGCCTCGATGACAAGTTCTCAGTTCACATCAAATGGTAACCTGGTGAAAGGTAAAAGCCAGGAACAGACAAGGCTTTTGAGTGGTAAGAGGCTTGCTTCCCATTAAAGGTGTTCTAGGGCAGCCCTCTGCCCCTAAATGCAGACTGCCAGTGCCAGTGAAAAGTACAGTATAGCTAAGAGGCACTCACTATTTGTCAAAGTTGATCCTGTGGTGATGCATGCCACCAGCATTACCCCGGCCTCCTGGGTGCTTCCGGTGCTTGCCTGCAAGAATACAAAGTTACAGTTAACATACCCTCACCAGCCCCTCAATTCTTCTCCCAAAACCATTTCCCCACATTTCTGCATCTCTACTTATCTTGTTCCCAGTCTACAATACCTCTCTAAGCATTGCTATTCCTTCAAAACTCCAGGTGAAACATCTCTATGCAGTGTTCCACATCACAGCACTATCCACAGTGCTCCATGCCTTCAATCAATTCAGCACTTTGCCCCAGTTTTCATTCATTCCTCCAAATGATGTGAAATTCCCTAAAAATGGAGTACTGGTGACAATTCTGACAGGGGAAAGAAAAAAACAGCTAACATTCAAACTTAATCCGAATGACCACACAAAGCTAACCCACTTCTACCCTACCTACTTCCTGGCTAGCTAAGGACCCGACAGGGAGTTCAAAGCAGACCGGGATGGGACGCCGGCACTTACCAATGCGGCCGTGGCCATGGCTCACGTGGCCCCGAAGTTTCCGGGTCTTTCTCAGTCTGGATGGCTGTATGAAAAAAGGTGCTTGGTATTAAGGCCAAAGGGAGGTAGGTGTGGCAGGGGGCCAACTTGCCCGTCTGCGAGGCGTCTGTAGGCCTGGGGAATTAAGATCTGCTTTGTAGCACATTCAGCAAAGTTGATATTACGAACTGGCCTGGGGACAAGCGGCCTCATCAGGGCGGCGCCCAAGCGCGCCGGCCCGCGTGTCTCAGAGACCCAAACTCCGAGCGGAGCACGCGGCACCAAGGTCCCAGGCCCCTACCGGGCACCCTGCGCTGAGGCCTGCCATGCGCGGCCTGGGAGACCGGGCTAAGGTGAGGGGTGGGTGGTTGGGGTGCAACGCGAGTGCAGCTCGCGGCCTGAACCAGCAACAACGGGGAAGCACGAAAATAAGCACCTACCATGTCGGCGGCCCAGAAGAAAGAGGGAGGGCTCCGCGAAATCTCGCGGTACTGACAACGGAGGCGGAGCCAATGAGACTCACTTCCGGCCAGGGAGACCCGGCCTTGGGCGGGGCCTCTTGGGTCTCGCGGGTCTCGCGTGACTACAAGGCTGGCCCCTGCCTCTTTCTGCGGGGTGTCCTGGTCCTCTCCAGGAAATACCAGTGGCCCTGACGTGTGGGAGTCGTGCTGGTCGCTACCTTCTTTCGCTCTGGCTCTGAGGCTGAGAGCTTTCGCGGAATCCGGCGCTTGGGGCGCTGTGTGGTCCAAGCTGTCGCGGTGACTTGGCCCTGGAACCCGACTAGGCCACCGTACCCGTCAGACGCCCCAGTTCTGAGTCGTCCAACGCGTCTCACTCCGTTCTTGCGGTCTGCTCGGCCCTGGCGGTAGCGGTTGCTCTCTTGTCTCCCAGCCGCAGTGAGGATTCGCGAGACGCTATTTGATCCTCAGCGTGCTTACCGGTGTCTCGCTCGGCTACCTTTGGAGTCTTTCACTAGATGTCTCCACCACCCACCGGCACCTGCTGACCTACACTCCAGGGAGGCGTTCGGTCTTAATTCCTCCTTTGCCCTTGTGCTATCTTCTGGGCCTCCACAGATTGAACAATCTGATATACTTCAGGCACCAGTATACCTGGTTGCTTTATGGTCCTTTTTATACAGACTCTGTAAATACTTTTTCTAACCACCCAGTTTGAATTTTCACCTGAACCTAGTTGACATGGCCGTGACCTCCTCTCCTGGACTAGAGAATCCCTGTTCACTTAGGCCCAGTGCAAGTGTCTCTTTTCCTGTGAAACTTCTCTGACCCATTCAATCATTGTTGCTTACTTTCCCCACTTGTGCCCTCACACAATCAAGTGCATAGCTCTTATATAATTCTTGATCCACATTTGTCTTCCGTACTAGACCAAATTCCTTAATGGCTCAGGAATATTTTCTTTTATCCATGCACTCCCAGTTCCTGGCATGTAGTGCATGTTCAACAAATTATTAAGTGACCGAATGTAACTACTCTCACCTCCCTGTCTTCACTAACTGGAAGAGCCCTCTTTCGAGTCTCAATCAGTGTTCGAAATCCCATTCTTTCAATTACTCTGTGTGTGTATTTATTTTCCCTGCCCCATTCCTGTCAGCTAAAATATATTTTAGCTAAATATCCTAAATTCTCCCTGACTGTCTTCTACCTGCTACCCTGGCTTTTTCCTTTACAGCCAAGCCCCCCAAAAGCGAAGTCTACAAATTCTGTCCATTTGTTCATTTCCCATTCATTGTTTAATCCACTGTAATCTAGCCCTCAGCTACACTACTTCAATGAAATTGCTCTTTTTCGAAGCATCAATTAAACAAATACCAGTTGAATGGACTCTTCCTATTCCTCATACCACTTCTCTCTGTTGTACTTTACCTCTTTCACTTCTTTATAGAAATTCTTGCCTTCTTCTTGTCTCTCTGGCCACTTCACAGCCTTTTCAGGTTCTTCTAATTTTATGCACCATTCAAGTAGTGATATTTTTCACCCTCCGGTTCTTGCTCTTTATCTTTTCACAATACACAGTCTTCTTGGGTGAATTTATTTTGGGTGGCTTCAATTCACAATGTTATTGCTGAGCTCCACACTCATGTGTTTACTTAATTTCTGATTATTATTCCTTGGACATTCTACAGACAAACTAGGTAAACATATTCAAAGACTTCAATTTTCCTTTCTCACCGGTGCCTTCTCCTTTATACTGTATCTTGGTGAGTGGTGCTCATGTCCACTTAAATAGTGATGTCATGGACACCTGAAAATTGTTCCCGAGCCTCCTTTTCCTCTAATACACTGTCACCATATCCGTTTGTTCTCTATCTCAGATCTGCTTCCTCCTTTCAAGCCCCCATGACACTGCCTTCATTAAGACCCTCATCATGTCTCTTATCCTGAGTTCAGCATCCTCCTGTGGCACCCTGCCTGCATTCTAACACTCCTCCAGTCCCTTCATCCTTCACACCTCTGCCAGGTTAATCTTCCCAAAACATAACTTTCATCCTTTCACTTACTTGATCAAAAAGTTGGGTAGCTCCCTATTACCTACAGAAAGGCCTATGTGCCTTTCCAAACCAACCTCAGCTTTTCCTCTTATACCAGCTTTCTACTGTAGCCAAACTTGCTACATACATTCTACCTTTTTGCCTGTGCTGGTGCCATTTCTCATGCCTATACTGCTCATCTTATTCCTGAACAGATATCCTGAATCTCCCTCAACGTTTAGGGCCCACCTTATATTCTGCTTCTTCCCAGAACACTCCAGTCCAGAGTGATAATAACCAAATACACCTTGCAATCTTACAAATTGCTTCTGCCTGAGAGGTCAACACTACCAGCTCCATTTTATGAATGAGAATGAAAGAATTGAGGCACAGAAGTTTGAATGACTTACCGGTGGCTACAGAGCTGCCAAGATACAGAGCCTGGGCCTACCTAGCCTTTAGTCTTCTCTTTCCAGATCTGTTTTTACCTCAGTGACCACTCCCTCTCTGACCTCACAGCATTATGGTCTTCATCACTCCTTCAGTCCTCAATCACATACTACCTGTGGCCAGCAGAAACCGGGGTCTTGAGAGTCGAGGGCAAGGTCTAAGAAGAGATCACCCTGTATTTGACATTGAAGTTGGCCAGAAAGTGCACAAGGGATGAACCGAGCTACCTGGAAACTACCCTTGGGAACATGGTCTGTGAATGGAGGTAAGCTGGGCAGAGCTTTGGGAATGAAAGGTAACCATCAAGTGTCTTGTGAGGAGGGCCTAGAGCCAGGACAAATACTGTTCAGGGAGTATAGGTAGGGTTCTGGGTAATTGGCACTGCTTCTGGATAGTTTTGCCAGGTTCTTTGGTTATAGAGGAGCTATATCCTATCCCTCAGGCCATCCATCTGAATGGAAATTCTCCGAGTGGACCAGCACTCTGTGTTGGGTTCTGTGTTCACCTAACATTCTTCTCATTGATGGTCCTATCACGGTGGAGGGAATTCCCTGGGTGATTGTCTGGCTCTGGTTTCTAGCAGGTTCCCTTTCATTCCTAAGGGCTCATGTGTGGTTTGTCAATGTGGGTCAGTTTCCCTAGGCTGACCAGCTCTGAGACAGCAAGCTCTGTATCTGCAAAGTTGAGTAGCATCCAGACATTAGGCATTAGGTAACCTGTCCCTCTCCACCAGGCACACGGAAAGTGCTGAGACATGACCTCTGAGAGGCCTGCTTCTCTGTGACATCTCTTCTGAAGTAGAGAGTGGTCTTGTGACATCTCAGGCATATGGGCTCCCTCAGAGAGTCAGGGCCTCAGAAAATATCTGTGAAATGAGCAGAAGGGAGATGATGCCAGACAGCAACCTGGCGAGACAGGTAAATGTGGTGCTGACCTTTTCTGGAACCCACGCCTTTCTCTAGGGAACCTTATGAACACACCCCACCCTGAAGAGGGCTCTGGTGGTCCCCTTTTCTTTTTCTCCTCTCTGGGTTCCTGAGTTCCTTAGCAGTCCTTCACATGGCAACAACAGCCTGGGTAGATCCAACCTTGTTTTCTTGCTCTCCATCTTTAGGTTTGGACATTTGGAAAGATTATGTTGCTTTCCTTTTTCAAGTAAAGGATTGTTAATTTAAGATGGAAAGAGCCAGGGTTTCTGTTCTTTTTTTTTTTTTTTTTTTTTTTTAATGTTTATTTTTGAGGGACAGAGTGTGAGCGGGGGAGGGGCAGAAAGAGGGAAACACAGAATGTGAAGCAGGCTCCAGGCTCTGAGCTGTCATCACAGAGCCCGAAGCGGGCTGTGAGATCATGACCCGAGCCAAAGTTGGACGCCCAACCAATTAAGCCACCCAGGCGCCCTAGGGTTTCTGTTCTTTTTAAGTGAGAGTTCTAGAAAAACTCAGAAATCCTAATGTATTTCAGAAAGGATTTTAAAAATAGCATGTAATAGAAAATCCAGTAAAACATTAAAGAAAATCTTTAAAAATATAAGTATAAACATCTCAAATGATAACACTTTATAATGCTTTTTTATGTCTGAATATTACTTTCAGCTCTTGTCTACGTGGAGACATAGCTATCTACAAAGCTGATGATCATGCATACAAATCCTTTTGTATTCTGCTTTTCATTTAATAGCGTGACATTTTTCTGTATCACTACTCAGTCTTCATGATTATTATTTTTAATATCTTAAGACTGATTTATCTTCAGCATGTACTGTAATTTACTAAGCCATTTTCTCCTGTATTTTTTTTTTTGTTTCTTTTTGTGTTTTTGGTTGTTGTTCTTATTGTGTTCTTTGCTATTAGAGACAGTGATGCAATGGACATTTGTGTGTATGTGTTTTTTCTTCTTCTATTGAATAGCTTGTCTAGGGTAAATTCCCAGGAGTGAGATTGCTGTATTATAGGGTATGAACATTTTTATGATTCATTTTATGCTATTTTTTTCCCCAAATGGATTGTACCAATTTATGCACCAGCAGCATGTATAGTTACCACTTTCAGCTACACCAGGCTCGGGGGGTTTTGTTGTTGTTGTTGTTTTGCCTTTATCAGTAGTTTTTGATAAATGGCAATATAGTATTTAGAGAAAAATCCATAGGGCCACAGGGTTTTCTTGAACACAAAGTAAAAATAATCTAATTTGAAGATTAGGAATTTCCAGGAGTCTTTCCTAACGCTGTTGAATAGATTTTTTAAAAATTTCATTATACTACATGGAAAATGTATTCCTAGAAGCTTTGTTGCAAGCTAAGGTGGAAAACCTTGCTGCCATTAAACTCAGAATAGCAAAATGTGAAGAGAGGAATTCTAGGATATTAGAGGACAGTTTATCCAATAGCACAACAAGGAAGGGCTTAAATATTTGGATTTTAATTTAATTTCAGATGATAAAATCAGCAGAAAGAACATAGAAGCTTGGGTTCATTTCCTACCCCTATTTTTTTTAAGTTTATTTATCTACAGAGAGAGAGCAGGGGAGCGACAGAGAGAGGAGAGAGAGAATCCCAAGCAGGCTCC